AAACTGGAGGGTGGTGGCGCAATTCTGGCTTAAGTTTCGTATTCATCGCGTCGACATAAATAGAGACTCGTGTGCCAAGTCTTTGGGTCTGACAACAACCCCCGAAAACAAAAAATACATGTCACGATGTTTTTTGTGATTAAGAAAAGGAGGCTGATGGCGCAATTCTGATTTCAGATTCGAAACCAGAGCGTCAAAATACATAGAGAAACATTTGCCAAGTCTTTAAGTCTGCGTTTGTGTGTGCGCGCGTGTGTGTGCGTGTGTGTTCCTACGAGTATTATTCTTTGGTTATTCATCCATTCGTTCCCAGGTTGGGTGTTCAATTTATCTACGTGACTTCTATTCACGTTAAAGCCGGCGCACAGTGCGATGAATTGCCTAAAACGTAGTTAAAATTCAAAATCTCTTGCAAAATGCAAAATAATTGCTTCATCGACTTCACTAAATATGAACATATCAAAAATAAATAATTGAAAATGGCGGATATTTCCAAAACGTGGAAGAATGCAACCAAAATGACTATATTTGAGTTTTCAATGTAAATATGTATATTTAAAGTATGACAAAAGTAAGTACGTTGGTGATTTCCACCATGCTGAAGACTAATTTGATAAAAATATGTAGGACCGTTTCGAAATTGAAGGTGAAATCAAGGTGTTTATGTGCACAGATGAATTTATAACATTGGACAACAAAATTAAACTTTTTTGTAGTTACTGGATGAATGTAAGTGATGATTACAGAAAACAAATTGCTGAATATTCTTTAGATATTTCCTGTCATGTACAGTTTTCGGGAAATTGACTACCGTATGATTTATACGCTTTAGTCAATCATCTTCCCTGACGTCGTCTTACAAAAGCCAAAATGTTCTGATGGAATTGCTCTTCCTGTTCTTAACTGATAGCTTGCACATTGGAAAGGAAATGTAGGAAGAGAAAGTTGTATTTCCCCTATGTTTCTTTAGTATGTTATCCTTTATATCCTATTAATATCGATTTATATTCGCTGGGTTTTATAGAATAATTGTGAAGTAAATACTATAAATATCATCAAGAAATTTGAATGAAAGTGGGATATTGTGGGATTTGTAACTTACCTCTGCCCTTTCTTTCATTTTTTAAGTAATTTTTTTTTTATTTCCCTGCACGAACATTCATTAAACAACATGTTTAACCTGAAAAAAAAAATAAACAAGGACATATAATTAAGTACATACCGTCTGTAACATGTTCCATTCTAAAATTTTAATGAATATTTTCTCAGAACAAAAATACGGCTTCAACTCCGAAATTTCCGCATGTCTAGGGTGACGCGGTGAACACAATAGAGCCCTATGTTCAACGTGAAATATAGCTTATAAATTTGTAAGTCCCGGTCGTTCGTACGCACGGGATTTAATAGTCCCAACAATAGTATAGCTAACCTAAGTTCCCCTGATGACGCATTAGCGTGGGGGTTGCGTTTGGGGAAGTGAGGTGTAATGACGTCGTGCTTTGTGGTTCGCAGGAGCAGCTGGAAGCGCTGCGTGCGCTGGTGCCCGGGCTGGAGGGCGCGCGCCTGTCGCAGCTTCTGTCATGCGCGCACGCGCTGCTCACCGCGGACGCCGCAGCCCTGGGCCTCGCGGACTTCCCCGCCGACGGCCTCCCCGCCGCCGCGCGCATCCTGGTCAGCTTCTCTGTGGCTCTCGCTCTCCATTGCAATGCCAGCCAATCGAATGCAATACTGTTACATCCCGTCCAATCAAATTCAATTCTATCCGATTATATCCCGTTCAAACAGATCCCCCTCCAAACCTACGAAATGCAATCCAATGCAATTCAATGATCCCATCCCATCCCATCCCCATCTCCATTCACTCTCATGCTCATATCACTTGATATAGAGTAATGATAGGAAAGTAATTCACAAATAAGTAGAACATTTTATTTTTTTAGGAAAACACTCCAAGTTTGCCAGACTATGATGCACTATATAGATTGTACCCTTACAAGAGTTTCTTGAGTGCTGAGGGGCAAGCAGCAGTGGAGAATGTTTTAAGTACCTTTCAGGTTCTGCCAAGACACTCAAAAAGTGTCTCTATGAACATAAACAATGTTATTCCTAAGAATGGTACAGCTGAAGTTGAAATAACTGTTGAACGTAAATCCAGTGTTCTTCAGGTATGGTTCACACCCATTGCAAATTGAATTAAATGTTTTAATTCTGTTTATTTGAGTTGTGGAGTTAGAAAACGTATTGAAGTTTACATGTCAATAATGTGAATGAATTCTGTGGAGTCTCATGATTCTTTCTTCTTTCCCCTTTAGGTTCCATGTGGGTCACTAAGAGAAAATGTTGTAACAAATGACTTTGTGCCAAATGTTTATCAAGAAAAACTTTTGGCTGATTTAATGCTCTCGCATCAGTTCAAAGACATTTGTGTTATTGGCCCACGAGGTTGTGGCAAAAGTGCTACGGTTTCAGAATTTGCCAAACGCTTGAACTATGTGGTCGAGCCTATTGTCCTGTATCAGGTTTGTGGTGTGCTCTTCTGGAAGTTTCAACAAAACATGTTAATGGTAAAACCTTGAAAACAAAAAGTAGGATTGTTATTATCTGATTATGTTTTATGTTGCAGGATATGACTTCCCGTGATCTCCTTCAACAAAGATCTACTCTTTTGAATGGAGATACCATATGGCAAAATTCTCCCTTGGTAACTGCAGCATTGGAAGGAAAATTGGCTGTTCTTGATGGCATTCATAGGATTCATCCTAGTACTTTGGCTGTTGTTCACAGGTTGCAATAAAATATTTTTTCAACCAATAAGCTTAACAATTAAATATTTCTAAATTCCTGCATCTAATGTTTTAGGTTAGTTCATGACCGAGAATTGACTTTACATGATGGAAGTCGTTTGTTGCGTCATGATCGTTATGACGATATCAAATCTTCACAAAATTTAACAGATAATCAGCTTGAAGAATATGGCATATTTAAAATCCATCCATCTTTTAGAATTATTGCTCTAGCAGAACCTCCAGTCCAAGGTGATATAATTAATTTTAGTATTGTCATTTGTACTACAATAATAAGCATTCATAAACTTTCATCTCTTTTGTATCTCTTATGTATGTATCTGAACATACCCAGAAAATGTTGGGATGTTATATCTCTTGTTCTTTACTGTAAACAAGCTCGTGTATCCTGCAGCCCTGTCAAGTGTATACTTCCTGGTTTCTTAAAAACCTGATGTGTGTTAAAATATTGTCATTTATTTAATCTGTACATTAACTCTGTTCACATTGTGCCACAGGTAGTTCTCTCACACAATGGCTCTCTCCAGAAATGTTGAGTCTATTCCTATATCATGAAATGAGGCCCCTTAAACCAGATGAGGAAATGCACCTGGTCAAAAATTTGGTAAGTGACTGTGGACTGAGAAGAGCTTTTTACTTGTGTTGCAGGTTTTTGCATTAAGACCTTTATTGTAATTCATTTGTTTGCTTTACTCTTACTACTAATACATTTGCATACTACTTTTGTGTAATGTCATTGAAATTTGAGCACCTGCATTAGAATAAAAATAAAATATGACCAAAAATATCTTAATAATTGTATCTTGCAATAATAAAAGGTTTATCAAATAAGGTACTAGTCGTATTAAAATAATAGATATTGAATTTATCACTGTAATTTCGAATTTTACTCTTATTATTTATCTTGAACTTTTGTGAATTTTATGAAGTTTACTATTAATTTCTTTAATATATGAATTTCATTATTTTTGCATTTTATAAAGTCATTTAAGGTACATATGCATTTTCTTTGTAATCCTTAACAACAAATTAAGAAGGAAGAATGAAATTGCAAATTGTCTTATGAAAAGGGTCTATTATTCATATTTTGTATCACTTATTGTAGTATCATATATTTGTATCACCGTATTGTATCACTTATTTATAGATATGTTTTATTCCTGTAGTTGGGTAGTGCAAACAAAGCATTTGAACATGTGATGAGAGTGGCACATCGTATGAGAGAGTCAGACGATCCAGCTGTCAGGGCTTTGTCAAGCTCTCTTTCCACAAGGCAACTCCTCCGTATAGCAAAAAGAATGAGGGCGTACCCCGGAGATAGTCCTGCAAATGCAATATACCGAGCCTGTCTTGCAAGGTACATAACACCTAAATGTCATTTACTTTATATCTATTCAGTTTTTTAAAAATTTTCTTATTGAAAAGAGTTTTTTTTTTGTGTGTGTGAAAGTCAAGTGTCATAGAAAATTTATTGAATATCCTAAATTAAAATCAAGAGGTTGTTTGTTGGCACTTGTGAAATAATTGTAGATCTTGTGTATTAACAATGAAACTAAAAGTAGATTAGAAAATATTTGCTGTTTGTGTTGATGATTTAGAAATAATATTAATATTGATCTATGTTAAGTGTTCTTGTGATTTTCTAGATTCTTGCCAGCACTACCTCGTCAAGCATTAGATAAAATTCTGCTTGATGAAGATCTTCCATTAATAAATGCAGAGACTTCTTCGCCAACATGCAAGGTGGAAGGAGAGAAAGTTACCATTGGGAACACCACTGTTCCACGGTACAAAACAGATGCCAAGACTAAAATACCTGACATACAGTTTTATGATGTACCACAGGTAACAACAGATGACAGTTGTAATATAACACATATATTATTTTTTCATAAGTTTTTAGGAACATACTGAAAAATGTTTCTTTATTAGCATATTACAGCTTTAGAGTGGCTTTTACAAGATTTCTTTCTTGGAGAACATCTTTTGCTTATTGGAAACCAGGGTGTTGGCAAAAATAAATTAGCTGATCGATTGCTTCAGTTACTTAATCGTCCACGAGAATACATTCAGTTGCACAGGTATTCCTTTGTATTTGCAAGTCTCTTTTATAGCATACAGCAGTATTTGCAATAGTGATATGTTTTAGAGATACCACAGTGCAGACGCTTACACTCCAACCAACTGTTCGTGATGGTGTAGTAGTATATGAAGATTCTCCACTTGTCCAGGCAGTGAAGTTAGGTCATGTGTTGATTGTAGATGAGGCTGACAAAGCCCCTACACATGTGACTTGTATTTTAAAGGTAGCTTTATTAATCATTGTTGATTTATTTTGATTTTCATTTTTAAAAGATTGCCATATTTTTTGTAATTTACAATTTTTACAATGACAATATACAATTTTAAGATAATAGTTAAATTATTTTCTTCCTCTGCAGAAAGGTAAGAAGCAGTTTCTGTGTAAATCAATGTTTTTTAAATTTTACAGACACTTGTGGAATCAGGAGAAATGATTCTTTCTGATGGACGACGCATTGTTCCTTTAAATCATCCCCAAACACCTACAAACAAAGGAATTATTCCTATTCATCCAGACTTCAGGATGATTGTACTTGCCAACAGGCCAGGCTTCCCTTTTCTTGGAAATGACTTTTTTGGTGCTTTAGGTAATAATAAGTGAAAGACAGTTCTAAGAATTTGAGAGATCTATCCTTGCCTATACTTTGATTTTTCTATAGTGCCCGATGACATTAGTTCTTACACCTTTACACTCCTCCCTTATAAAATGAATCTTTTAATTAATTCGTGAACGCCCTTCTCAACAGGGCTTGTGCCCCAAGAAATGTTCCTACCGCTGTTAAAAAATTTCATTTCATAAGGCAGGAGGTGTAACAATGTTCTAATGTCATTGGCCACAAAGAAAAATCAAAGTTTAGTAAATTAGTTTACTTTACAGCTGACTCAATGGCTCTGGTCGATGAGGCTGTAGTAAGCGGGATTGCAGTTTTGAGTCCTGTGTGGGCATGGTTGTTTTCACCAGCAGTCATAGTATGATTGGCCTTCCCACTCTTCATGTATCACCTTTCCTATTGTATTTGATGTTCCTGTACCATCTGTCTGGAAGTGTGCATGAAGATCTAGCTCCCCACATTTAATGTTGCGAGTGCTGAAATGGGCCCAGGGGCTACCTTGAGTGTATAGATGGTCCTAACCTTGGTGTGACCTTTTGGAAGTATGAGAGAGTTCTCAGGGTAGAGATAATGACTGAGGTGAACCTTTGGAAGTCCCTCAGGTGCGGATAGATGGCAGCCAAGTTATGGACTGGGTAAAATCAGAAGGCAGCTCCAGCTGCAAAAAAAGGGGAAAAACTTAATAATCAAGTTTTATTTAATATACAAAATATATGAAACTATGATGAATTTTCCTATAAATCTGCTCTAAAATAGACATTTTTCTTTTTATATATTTTAAAATTCTCTCTGTTTAATAATCTAAAGATGTTGATGGGATTAATAGGATATATTTTTTTTTCAATTGATGTTATTTGTTTCTCAGACATTTCTAATACAGTTACGAAGAATTTCAAAGTCTCAAGAAATCCCTTTATTAACACGGTTTGGAAACAAATTAATAAAAAAAATGAAGCATCAAAAATAAATATAAGTGCCATTGAAATGTAATGGTTTGGGTATCTTTTCTGAAAGATTATTTAAATGTGAAATGTTGATCCTCATAGTCTATGGTGTCTCTTTAAGAAAGTAAAATCATGTGTGTCTCAATTTGACTTACAGATTTTTAAGAATTCAGTACATCAATACCTATCATAATTTATCTCATGTAGTTTGTATAATAATTTAAGATTCAGCAAAAGCTTTATTTTCACAGGGGACCTATTTAGCTGCCATGCAGTTGATAACCCAAGTGCACAGTCAGAACATGCATTATTAAAGCAATATGGACCAGATGTACCAGATGAAATTATTGCCCGTTTAGTCAGAGCATTTGGAGAACTAAGAAATATGGCAGATCAGGGTTTGGTTCAATATCCCTATTCTACCCGAGAAGTTGTGAATATTGTCAAGCATTTACAGGTAAGATTTTCTGATTATTTGTTACATATCTTTTAGTTTTTCTTTCCCCTTTGCTCTTCCCCAAATTAATTATCTATGACTTACCTAACTATTAATCTGACATCTCAAAGAGCAGGCTAGATGCAGTGATGACCCAAGTGTCATTGGAAGGGCTAGAGGGAGGAGAGGAAAAGCAGGGTCAGTTGCCCCAGGTTAGAACTACAGGTTAGAATTCATTGTCGAGGATTTAAAGAAAGAAGTCTCAAGTCAGAGACCAACACCATGCCTCTCCCTTTCTTTTTGGTGGAAGGGGCCATGTTATTCCAGCAGACTACAAGTGTATCTAAACACAATCTATCATCTAAATCTCCTAGCTAGTATTAATCCCACCACTGGATTGGCTTGCTTAACTCATTTCATCTTCCAAATTCTAGTTTGTGGATGTTTAGTATTGGAAGGCTATTCAGTTGAAAAACATGCTAAATTTCCGATGGAAAGATCTTATTTGTTTTTACAATTTTTTTCTCTATTATACTCTAATATGCTTAAAAATATATTTGCATCATGGAATGGAGAAATACACTGTTTAGTAGAATGGTATTAAAATCCATACTACTCTTTTTTTTGATTTTATACTGTATTATCTGAAACTTAAATATCATTTTTGATGTATTAGTTAAACATTTGTATTTAGTAGAAGTGTGGAATTAATAGGATGTAATGTGAAAAAAGAAAAGAAAAAAAAATACACTTCATTGCTTTTGAAACTGAATATTATTCATACTACTTCCTTTCAGTTATACAGATCTGTTAGACTTCAACTTTGAAGTCTTCAGAAAGATGCTGATTATTTTTATCATAGTATGTTTTACCTAGATTCCCTTTGTACAACACTTTCTTTGGGTTCTGTTCATTTAAGTATTGGTATTAAATATCTTACAGTTGTATTTCATGTGTTAGACTATTTTTAAATTGAGCATGCTTTTACTTTTCAGGAATTTCCTAATGAGAGTCTCGTAAATGTTGTTGGTAACGTTTTTGACTTTGACACTTATAGTCAAGAAGTGCAGGACACATTGACAGAAGTACTACAGAAGAATGGCATTCCTCTGCATGTACACACAAATAAGATCAACTTGGCCAAAGAGTAAGAAGTTGATTTTTTCATTGTGCCTTTGTCTTCCAAGCTCTGCTTTGTAGGCTGAGCTATGTTAAAATTTTCAGTACATTTGAGAAAAAGAAATGTACAGAATTATTCAGATATTAAGCAGCCTGTAAAATATTTGTATTGTTTTAAAGAGAAAACAATAAATCTTTTATTTAAGAAAAATTTGGTTTTAAAAATTCATCCTGGGATATCAACATTTAAAAAAGTTTTATTTTTAAAATAAATTATACCTTAAAACAATCATGTTAATATTTGTGGTAGGTTTCCTCTGCCACCCTTACAGCAGGCAGGTGAATGGAAAGTTACACATCCAAGCCCTCCCACCATTTTGCCGGTGGAGGAACGCTTTTTGAGAACCAAAACACCTATCACTCTTCGAAAGTACCAACATCCTTTAGACCTGACTGAAGCCCGAGGCTCAGTATTTAGTGAAATGCAATCCTATTGGGTTGTACCAGTTGGTGAAACAGGCATTGTTGCAGGATTAGCAGTTTCAAAAAGTAGGTGCTTTATTCTTCCATTTACATTGAAAAATTGCAGCTCAAGTATTTCACAAATTAAACTAACTTTTGTAAACTTTATGCAGGTTTTGAAAATGATCCATTGAAAGATTGGATACATGTGATGGCTACCAATCCCATGAAATTATTTTCCATGCAATCTTCTGGAAAAGACATCCATGAACTTTCCCTGCAAGGTTTGCTTCATCCTGTGCGAGGAAGTAGACCTCGTTTTAAAATGTGTCCCATTAAAACTGATGACAGTTCTATTCTGCTAATCCATGAAGAATCTGTAGGTTTCAATTGTTATGATAAATTAGTAGAATGATAATAATAGAAATTATCAATTATATTATAAAATAGAAATATCATTATTACTGTAAAACTGATGCTATTTTGGATTTTTTAATGTCTTTGTAGTCTAATGGATTAGTTTTAGTGGATCCCTTTGCTGGTTATGCACGGCCAGTAGCCCAAACATCATTTATTGAAGATACTACAGCTACCTTGGCAAGTGCATTTCCTTTTAATGTCAAAGACAAAAATTGGAAAATGTTAACTGATTTAGTGGAAGACAAGAAGTTCATAGTAAGTTTCTGAGTTGGCCAAGAATTTATTTTCAATTTTGCTACAGTGCTATAAAGAAATATTTTGCAGGTTTTGTTTGAAGATAATGGCCAAAGAATTGATGCTATTAATGTGGAGACAATGACTGCATATTCTATGACTTTACCTGTTAATTTGAAAACTTTGAATCTTCCTTCCATTGATAGGTGGCTTGTAGAAGACACTGAAAGTCGGTAATGCACATCTTTCATTAATTTTTTTAAAGCAATTTTATTAGCTATAATGTACGAGCCCATGTTACTTGAAATGTACTTCCATCAATGTTCATAATTCTCTTTATGTTGTGTTGATGATTACCAACACTCTAATTCTTTTAATAGGAAATATTTATTGGCAAAAGCAGATCCATCAGAGCCAATTCCTAGAGTTCTTCAACCTATTGAAGAGAGAACGGATACCACTTTATTAAAATCTATATTTGGATGTGGAAACACTCAGCTTCCATCTCCTGTATTAAGCCAAGCAGTAAATCAAAAGATTGAAGCCCCAAACCGAATATTCAGTTCACGATTGAGCAGTGCTGTAATTGCTGTTGGATTTCCAGACTTAGAACTCAGTGGCAATCAACTCTATTTGTGGCCCCGAGTGAAGGATATGGGTTCAACAGATAGTATGGAAAAGACAATAGTTTTGCCTGATAGTGGAACTGTAAGTATTTTTAATAAAGTTTTACATTTATTCAGAACATTTTTTCTTTCATGTTTATATACATTTCCTCCCTGAAATAGATAATACGGCCAATTAATACAACAAGTTTACCTGAAAAGATATTAGAAGAGGATCGGGAAATACATCACACCGTGGCTGGATATTTAGAAATCACTGACATAATTAATCGTAAATTACGTTACATTGCAGTCCCACAGTAAGTGCTGTGTTTGATTTAATCTGATCCTGAAAATCTTGGAGCTCATTTCTTTATATTGTTTGTCGTGCCTACAAGAGTGGCAATGTGAAGTGAATTTAGTGAGAGGAAAATGAACAAATTTTCAATGAAATATGATTGTTTCTATATGTTGATTTACCCTCAGTAAATTCACTTCACACGCATTATTTTTGCAGGAGTAACGACAATAAGCAAGTGCCATTGCCCTTCAATTTATGTACTGGGCATATGCCTGTTGATTATTTTACAATAATATAAAATAATATTTGCTTCTTAATCAGATTTCATTTTTTATTTATATCATCAAATCACACTTCAGGCCTCTGAATGTTTCTCCTGTGACTGCGTGGATGTACTCAAACAATCAGTTGCCAGTGTTTGTGACTGGCACAAGTAGGGATGGTCTTGCTACTGTTGATGCAGGAGGATGTGTTCGCCTGTGGGAAGTGGAAATTGGGAACCTGACAAAATCTTTGCAAGAATGGAGACGAATGGTTGCATCTGGTAAATTTAAGTTTTGTTATTGTGCATCATCATCATCATCATCATCATTGTTCTGGCTGTTATTCACATCTGCCACCGCCACTACCTGGAACAATGTTGCTGCCCTGCCGTTGAGGAGGGGAGTGACAGTCCTTCATTCCCATGCATCTAGCCAGCCTCTTTCTGACCATTTCATCTCCAAATCTTTTGTTTAGTAATAATTTTTACTTTCAGAATGGTATCTCCATTTCACAATATTCTTTCCCTTCTGTGGTCAAGTTTTTGAATTCTTTGAAGAATCTTTCAAACTAAAAAAAAGGATTTATTTGAGGTCACATTGTAACAGCTAGGTCGGCAGTGACCCCTATCATTATACAAATGTATAAACAAACATAGTAATTACAGTTTTAACAAGAATAAATACTTGTAACTTTCATTCTTTTCAGATAGAGATCACCTCCAGCTGACTATAGATAAACCAAGTGGAAAAGATGTTAGTGCCCCAAAACATGGGAAAGTTGATGAAAAGGGGGATCCACATGTTGGTGGTAACACTTGGGCTGGAGGAACTGGTGGAAGAGATACTGCAGGTCTAGGTGGAAAAGGAGGACCTTACCGTCTAGATGCTGGACATGATGTACATCAGGTTAGTTGATTTACTTACTGCAAAATAGAAAATCAAAATGGTATGTAGCTGGTTGAAAATGTTTCTCATTTATTATTTCTCTCTCTGCTTAGTACTGTTTTAATTTATTTGAAAGAGCGATTATATAAATAGATTTGAGGCATTGTTTTGACATACATTTTTATTTTCGCAGAAAGCTTTTTCGGTCATATAGCAACCATCTTGAGTTATACAAAAAATAATACCAATGTATCTAAATTACAAATAAAATACAATCTCTTACAGAATATTATTATGAATAAAATTATAATTTAAGCAAATTGGAAAAATTTGAATATAAAATGTGAAAATGGGAACATTATTTTGAATCGTGAGTACATGGAATAACCAATGTACTATCTTTAAGTGAAGTAAAATAAAATAGTGTAAATTAAAAAAATAGTCTAGACAAATAAAGAAATTAAGATGAGCAAACTGACATACCAATTCTGAGGCAGCAGGAGATCTTGGTTCCAACAAGGTATCAGGGTATCAGACTACTACCAACGAATATTTGATATTATCAGCAGCAAAAACATCCTACTGATTAACAAAGATCCCTCAAACCAAAACCTGTGCGGCATCAAAAAAGAACTTGCAGAGTCTAAATCTCTTTTTCCCAGCCTCAACATAATCATCACCTTTAATTTTTTTCTACCTTGACCATACAGCCTTCCAAAAATTGACAAACATTCTATCCCCATAAGACCTTTTGTTTAATACACCAATACCATTACACACATACTCGCATGGAAACTCAACCAAAATTTCTCCACACATATATCAAATAATCACCCTCTCATACTATCACTGATAGTATTGACCTAGTAGTAGATAGACATACTTGTGCCACAGAATGTGCTTGTACCACAGAATGCAAAAATTCCTTACGAGACATCCTTGACAACTATTTGAGCTCCACACCTATCAAAAATGAACTTAACAAGATGATATCTCTCTGATTAGACATAATTACTTCAAATTTGACAATGCATTCTTCACTCAAATCTTCTGATCTACCTATGAGGTCCCCACTTTCTCCACTACTAGCATTTTTATGGACAACTTTGCGAAACAATGTTTTAATTCTGGACACCCACATCTAAAAAATGTGATCTATTGGTATAGATATGGATGACATCATATAATTGCACCGGCACCTACGATAATTGAAAAACTTTACTGACTTCCTAAATTATATACATTCCAATTTTCAATTCACTGTAGAAAAAGAAATTGAGAATAGAATCTCTAACTTTCTATAGTTGTCCACCACTTTATTGAATGATAGACATGTTTTGACATATGGGTTATTCCAAGTAAAATGAGCCGAAATTTTATCAATCCTCTCCAAATTACTTGAAAACCGTCATATTTTTTCATTATCATCTACATATAAGCAGAAATGTGCTCATTTGTTTTAGCTCAATGTATTTTCATTTATATTTCAAATTACAGCATTTAGCTGTTTTTGCCCTATCTCACAGAGCACTAAGAAACAAAACAAAATGTATAAAGTTGTAAAATTAATACAAACAATAGATATTTCGATAATTTAGAATTTATAGACACAAGGTTTTGATGTAAATTGTTCCGAGAGGTTTTGGGCATGACCATGCTGAAATATGAGGTCAAAGGTCAAAAATATAGTTGTTTCTTCACATGTTTATCCCCAAAATATACCAATTTTGATTTTGCTGAAATTATGAGAAATTGAAGGTAAGGGATCATACCTTAACATAGTAAAAATTCACAGGTTTTTTTGTTGTTTTTTCTATTTTCTGAAATTATCCTGATTTGAAGTGTATATCCCATGTCTTCTATTTTACCTTTTAAGAGAATGAAATTGTTATGAAAATGTACTAAGGACACAATTATTAACCTAATGTTATAGTATTTGAATTCTTATATATTCATAAAGTTTCTAATCTTATAATTGATTACATTTTAATACTTATTGTGGGGGGCCCCACATGTCTTATTCAAATCTATAGGGATCTTTCTTAGCTCAAAAGGTACAAAATGATGCTATTTCTGATATACATTTATATTACTATTACTAATTATTACAATTGCTGTATTATTATTACTAATTTTATACATTTATATCATTACCTAAAATAATTTCTTTGAGCTTAATTTACTTTTCTTGCAGACAATAAAACAGTTAACGTATTAGATGAAAGCTCTGCGAAAATAACAGACTCCATTGAAGGAACAAAATTCCACATATTTTGTATTTACATTAATAATATTCACTCATTAAATTTAATATAATTAATTTTAAGGTCCAAATAGGATACCTGCAATTTTTAAATCCAACACGAGCTTTATTATTTTTCAAATTTTGAAAATTGTTTTTGACACGTCATTGGCTGAAGAATTGTTTCCTCTCTGAGTGGAAATTCTCCTTCGTCATTCCCTTTTTAAAATATGGTGATAAAAGCCTTGTAACAATCTATAGACCTATATCTATTTTGAGTGTAATTCCGAAACTCTTTGAATCTATAGTTATCGATAAAATCAAGTGTAAAATATTTCCCTAACTCACTATTAGGCAATTTGGTTTTATGAGTAGAAGAAATATAGTCAAATCTGGTGTACTAGTACACTTTTAATGTCTTGGAAAATAAGCATCGGGTAGGCAGTATTTATACAGATCTCAATAAGGCCTTCGATTCAGTCAATCACAAATTACTAGTACAAAAATTGAAAGCTTTTGATTTTTTGGTTTGCTCCTACTTTGGTTTATAGATTACTTAACCAACTGAATACAATTTGTTAAAAATGAAAATGTCACTTCAGAAGGGTTCACAATTCTGTCTGGAGTCCCTCAGGGCTCTCATCTGGGTCTACTACTCTTCATTATATTTATAGAAGTCATCTATCTCACAGATACCAATGTAGAGTTGCTCATATTTGCAGGTGATGTTAACTCTTTTAAGTTGATCACATGCATAAATGACCAACATTCCTTGCAGTGCTAAATGCATTTGGTAAATGATGTAAAGAGTCTCCTGTTCAGTAATCTATTTCCAATACACCGAAAATGCATTACCTCTGGAATGTGTCCCTGCGATTTGGGATCTGGGTGTACATTTTGACTCTAAAATGTCGTTTGTAACGATATTAACTACATGACTAACAAAGCCAACCAAATCCTTGGTTTCATCTGAAAAAACTCAATGCGGCGGCAATGCAATGCTGAACTCAAAGTGGTAAACATTTTAAAAATGTTATATATGATGCTTGTTAAACCTATTTTAATGCTTGCATCTGTGGTCTGGTCTCTGTGTTTTCATATTCATTCTGCTAAAATTGAATCTGTCCAGCACGAATTCTTCAGAATTGCTGCAACATGTTTAGGAATTCGCACCCCTTACATTGATCATGATTATTGTTTCATATCTTCCACTCCAACATGCCCTCTTCACAACTTTAGTGATATTTTGTTTGTGTTTAAGTTAGTATTCACAATATGTATCTATACAAATTATTGAAATATGTAGTGTTTGTATTAATTTTACAAGTTAAATCAATTTTGTTTCTTAATGCTCTATGAAATAAGGCAAATGCTATTATGTGAAATACAAATGAAAATACAATGAGCTAAAAGCAATGAGCACATTTCTGCTTATTTTTAGATGAAAATGAAACAAGTATGCGTGTTTTCAGTTATTTGGAGATCGTCCGATTTTAATTGGAATGACCCGCATACAGAAAACTGTAAACTCATTCTTAACACATCCACCCTCTCACAAGCATGCAGCATTTCATAGTATGCTTCACCGAGTATTTATTCTCATTTCCTCCCTCCCACAGAACATCAGAAAAGATATCCACAACTTAAAACAAATTGCTATCAACAATGGTTACAATAGTCCTTTAATTAACAATCTTATTAAAAATCTCTTTCTCTCTATACAAAAAACTTAACTTTCCTCACACACACACGCGCACACACACATACACACATACATACACACACACACACACACACATTCACCCCCCCCACACACACACACACACACTTCACTCCACACACACACACACACACACCAGGTATACCATCTCCTTCCTTGGAACACTATCTCTAAACATTGCCAAACAACTCAGACAATTTGACGTACACGACACATTCAGCACACCAAACATTCTCCATAACACACTTTTCCACAACAAAGATCTTATCCCAAGCCTCTTATCATATGGGGTATACTCCATTTCCTATGGCAATTGCAATGTGCGGTATATTGGCCAGACCGGAAGATCCTTTAAACAAAGAATCAAATCATACATACAAGCTCACAAAACAACACAATCGCACTTTGCCAACCATCGCTTAGAACAACAACACTCATTTAATGCAGATAGTGACGTCAAAATTTTGGAAATTGCTAATAGATAAACTCATAGACTTCAATTAGAAGCCATACACATCAATAATTTATTAACCAATCCCCAACACACTATTTTGAATGAACAGATTCCTTCTTTCTCACCAGTCCTGAAATTGGCCTTTTCCCATGCACATTAACCCCTCTGCCCACCTCTTTTCTGCTGACCCGGCCGGGCGTTTCTCCCTAATGGTAATTTCTTAGAAAAACTCCACCTTCTGCCTCCCTCAACTGAGGGCTTTCTTTTAAATAGTGTACCATGCTCTTGACCGTTGCTGTCTTGTCTGAACCAAGCTGCCTCAGAATCAGTATGTCAGTTTGCTCATTTTAATTTATTTATTTACTTATTTATTTATCTAGACTATTTTTATTTTATTTTACTTCACTTTAGAACAGTACATTGGTTATTTCATGTACTCTTGATTCAAAATTGTTTCCATTGTCACATTTTATATTCCAATTTTTCTAATTTGCTTAAGTTCTAATTTTATTCATAATAATATTCGTAATAGATTAAATTTTATTTGTTATTTAGTTATATTGTTATTATTTTTTGTAGCTCTGAAAATGGCTGCAATAGGACCGAAAAAGCTTTCTGCAAAAATAAAAAGTACAACAAAACAATGCCTCAAATCTATTATTGTGTTGTAAACTCCACACTATGTCCTATGAATACCAGAGAGAGAGATTAATCTTATTTAAACTACACGATTAAATAAAAAAACAAAAACAAATGAAAAGGACTAAGTACCTACCTAAATTAGAAAACAGAAGATCAAAAATTTAAAAAGAATAATTCAAATGAAAATAGTGAGAAAGTTCAGCATGTTCATTATCTTTTGAATTTTCCAGATGGTTTCCAATTGGTCTTAGAACATAAATTTAGAAAATGTATTTTAAAAAAATGGAGGTAATGAACATTCTGCTGAACATTGTGTTAAAAGTGAAAATAGCTTCATTCTGGAACTCAACTTTCAACAGCATGGCCCTGATATTATATCATTATATGTGTGTTACATCATGTAGGCCTGATGTTATGTTTGAGTAAACATTCTAATATTGATAAGATTATATAACAAACAAAAAACTTAGATTCATGCAAATAAATTTCACATGATATGGAAGTAACTTCATTTTGCATAGATTTTGCAATTCTGCATGTTTCTGACTTTCTGTTCTACGGAGAGGAGTACTCAGAAAAACTAAACCTCAAAAAATGTAATTGAAGAAACAAAAATTATGGCATAAAAAACATAACTCAGGGATTCTGGGAGCATGAAAAGACAGTTTTTAAGGGCCTAGAACTCACTTTCCCACACAACTTTTCAATTTATAATGATAGTAGTGTGTTGCAGATTGCATTTATGCTGGCTTGTTTCTCAGCATAATCTACAAAATTCTACATTTTTCATTTTGAATTTACTTGATGCTCATCAGATTTCCTTTTAAGCAGTCACACATTTATGGAGTGTCTTTGGCATCATAAAAATCCTGTAAAATTGGCATCTTTCTCTAGCATGTTATATGTAGATTAGAGATAATTAAACTTTTCATTTTATTCTACAATAAATTTAAAACAGAAAAATAGATTTTGAGTATCAATACATTTAGTATTTTGAACTTTTAAAATTATTAAAATGTTTTTGTTTTTACATCAAAATATGTTTCCTAATTTTTAGTCAATTCCGGAGGGTTGTAGAACATTTGTTTTTATCACATAAGTATGGACAAGCTCCTTCACATAATACTCCTATATAAGTGTTATTCTGTGAATGAGAAGCTGTTTTTCAGAAGAAAGAGCTGTAGTCCATTGTGAAATTTGATAAATGTGGAAATATCTCCCGTGTCTGTAAACTGTAGGGCAAAATTCACTAGACTATGTTTTCCTTGTTCCACTACTTCCCTTGTTGCAAATAAAAATTTTAAATTCTATTAAAAGTATGATTTGAGCTATTTGTGTTTTGGATTAACATTCATGTTAGGCTGTGATAACTGTTTTTAAGGTGAGCCAAGCAGAAAAGGATGCTGTTCCTGAACATGTGAAGAAAGCTGCCCATGAAATGGCTCAAAAGGCATTCAAGCAGCGTTTAAGAGAAATTCAAATGAGTGAATATGATGCTAGTGTTTATCAGCAGTATTTAGGTTCAGTTGCTGCACAGGTAACAAAATGTTCTTTTTTAATTTGTGAATCATTATGATTACTAAGGTAAAATTAAGATAAAATGTTTTGTTCTGAAGGGCCTATTGTGAAACTAATAATACAGTCATGTACATAATATAAGATGTGTTTACCCAAATATAAGACGACCCTTTAATTTTGAAGAGGCCCTCTGAGAATTTTTTTAATTTTTAACTAATTCTTGCTATTTAATCAAAATAAAATTTCAAAATGTCTTATTGACTAGACAATTGCCTTGTTGATGAGAATGTTAAGATTTATTGCTGAACTCTAATTTTCTTGTTCTTTAATTGTATAATTCTAAAGAACCTGTAACAAGTATTGGACTTCAAATTCTTGTTTTGCTTCTGGGCATAAATATAACTTCAAATTAACTTCTCCCCATAGCACGTCACACTCAGTTTTTAACTGTTTTTGACGTAAATAAAAAAAACACAATAATATCATCATTATCATGGTTTTGCCACTACCCTCGTCATCCTCATAAGTATCAATGTTTTTCTTTCTTTTTGGTCCTCCAGCCATGCTGTGACATCTAACCTTTTAGGCCCCTCTTGAAAGTATTGTTCGTAGTCTTTCATCAGTCGCCATCTAAGAACATTCCCTTCTGTTGCCAGATTTTCTATCGTCTCGCACTTATTGATGGCCTCTGTTTCTGTTCAAAACGCAGATTTGTATTTGCTGGCCGTCAAACAGTTTCCGCATGACCTCGTCGAACCCGCATCGTGTAACAAACTCTCAGCATTCATTTTCACGTTACGTTTCATTTGATACAATGCCATTCGGTTAGATATTCTCTATCAAATTATCGATCTGGATTGCCCGACTAATTCGCGGTGGGTGCCGAGAATACGAACGCGAATATAATTATATATTGTAGATTCACGCGATATTTTTACCATCTTCGCAGTTTGTTACGTCAACATTTACGAGTTTCGTGTCATGGAATGGCAATGTAAAATCTTAAATCCTAATCGACCAGGCTTAATTTGCGAATATAAGACGACCCCGCATTTTTCGACGGAGATATTTCGGAAAAATTAAGTCTTATATTGGAGTAAATACGGTAAATCAAATTATTCAGTTCTAGGTTTATTAAATATTGACAATTAGACAGTATTCGTTTATAGCCTATTCAAACTTTCTCATGATTTAACAATTGTCGTCATATAACGAGCATGTGCCAAATAATAAATGATTACAACTGTGAATGCAGCATCCCAGGGTGCCACTTCCGTTCGCACATTCAAAATAATATTGTTTCACTCCCAATATTTTGATTGAGTTTGGTACATAAGCATTGTAACACCTACAAGATTTCGAGTTCATATGTCGTGATTGGACATCTATTTAAATATTGGTGAAATCATTTTTTCCAATAACATTGTGGTTACGAGACAGATTCTAGGGAGGGGGGGTGTCTGAGACATTGCTCCAACGTTATTTCGTCAAAAGTCTATTTCAAAAAGTTCATAATTTTATTCTATTTGAAATTGGTGCGAAAATTAGCCAATTAGCACAAACATACCTTCAAATTCAACTATTTTCCCCCGACCCTGCAATTTTTTTCAACCTGATACATGCCATAGAAGCTCAGAAGAAAAATAGAATGTGAAAAACATGTTTCTTAAAGTATCTCTGCAATATATTGCTCTAGGAGGCTGCTTTTTTGGAAATATGCGGCATTCTTTATTCCCATTCATATGCGTATTGCGATTATCGATTTGGTTTGGAGGCCCTTTTCGCTCCCTTATTCAGCTATATATTCTTTAAAGAAACTAGTGGTGCTAAAACAGGAGTACTTTCTCCCCCGAAGTTTCACGCAAAATTACGCGAAAAGTACTCAAGTTTTCGAAAACTTTTTAATTACTTTATTTCAAAATGTATCTTTAAGGAACAGATTTCATTGGGGAAAAGACTCTTATCTTTAATATTTCAGCAGTAGGAAGACGTTCAAAAATTTTGAACTTTTGCGATTTTCGAAAAATTACGATATAACGAACATGAGACCTGCACCATTTTCTTAAACGTTCTTCACACTGTCCAACAAAAAATTTAACCAAAAACGATGAAGCCTTTTTTTGAACTTCGGAAAGTTTCCTTGGTGCTCCATGTAAAGTACCTACCAAAATTTAATCGTTTATTTCAGAAACCTGTCAAACGACAAAATCTAAAACACGCATAAGCGGCAGATAATTGCTCCAAGAGGACAGACACAGTTTAGTGCATAGTTATATGAAAAATATTCATTTATGAACTGCTTTCGTAAGTAAAAATATTTTGAAATCTGGAAAATTGCGAGACTTTTTCTCGGTTTTCTCGAAATGAGGAATATGGTGTTTGACGGGTTTCTGAAATAAACGATTCAATTGAAATGTCGATTTCAAATTCAAGAGGCCGGGACATTCTCCAGATCGATTGAGAAATACCAATTCTGGAGAAAATCGGCTCAACGGTTTGGCCTCTAGCGTTGAGGACGGACGGACGGACGGACGGACGGACGGACGGACGGACGGACGGTTGCCGTCATTCGATTTTTCGGCACGAAGGACCCACATAACATGGATTCTGCTTACACCACGACGTAGAGAATTTTTTCTCTAAATTTAGCAAGTGGGTTTATCCACTTTTTCGTTACCAGAGCCCTGTAAGATGTTTTTCCACAGCATTAAATAACATAGTTTCTACTCCATAGGGGGACTAAACATTTTGAGCCATTTTTGAAAAAAAAAAAATTGAAACTGTTTCAGGGATTTTAAGTATCCATAAGCTTTCAACGTGATTGACTGAGGAATTTTAATTGTAGTGAAGATAAGTTGTGAAAATATCTATCAGAATATCAACTAGATTAATTACAAGATAGATTTAAATCATCCATTGGTTTGGGGATATAATGTGAATAGAAGAACATATAGACTTTGCCTACATTTTGTTGATTGGTGGCTAAACATTACATTAGTAACTTTAGAAATGTGTATTACTTATTTAAACTATTCTTCATTTTTCGAGAGACACAAACAACAGCCATAAGGCAATTTATTTTTAAAGAAACTTGCTAGTTATAAACCAGGTGTGAATCCACAGGAAGGGAAATAACGGAAACTTACCCCCCAAATTTTTTATTAACTATTAATTTACCTTGTCATGAAACTTTGAAGCAAAAGAAAATTCAGATAATCATTAAGATGACACATTCAACCAGACACATGACATATGACACGTATTTCCAAAATCTGTAATATGACACATTCGACCAGAACATTTTGAATTTCCCCTCCCAAAATTCATCTCTGGATCTGCCCCTGTATAAACACATCTACATTTTCACACTTTCACTGAAGAATGTGCTGTATGTAAAAAGCCTGGCTTAAGAAACAATATGCTTTTTTAATGTTCTATGTTTTAACCCTTTGTCTATCACATATTTGCAACCTTATTTCAATTCATTGTAAATGAAACATTTCATTTACATCTGGTTAGTGAGAGTTGGTTTTGGCGCATTATATCCCCTCTGAGTGACTGTAAGTGTAGTATTAATAGAACATATACTGGGACTAAGAATTGAAAACTGGATCCCTGAAAAATGGAATAAGTGGTTTGCAATATATATGTGGATTTTACCATTTTCATTCCCAATTTGTGATTATCAGCACTAGTAATTTATCTGTGCTGTAATTCTGCAATTATTTCACAGTGAAGAAAAAAGAGGTTTATTATGTGATAGGTGCAAGCACTTCGTGTGATTTTGGGCAGCCTGCAAGCAAAATCAAAAGAGCGTCAGTGGCAGCGACATCAAACAACAGGAGAACTTGATGATGCTAAACTTATTGAAGGTATGACGAGTAAAAATTGGCGAGAGAAAATAATGTAGAATGAAATGTTATCCACAGTTATTAAAAAACTGATTATATCTAATTGATTAACATTTAGAATTATCTTTTAAAAATAAAATCCTTTGGTTAAATCAGGATTGACTGGAGAGAAAACTATTTATAGAAGACGTTTTGAGAAGGAACCTGAATTAGGAACACCGCAGACTAAACCTAAGCGTTTAAAATTTATTGTTGACGTTTCAGGTAGTATGTACAGGTAAGAGAAAACGTATTTGTATAGAGGTATTTTCTTTCCCCTTTTCTTTGTGTATTTGTGTTTCATATTTATGTTGGTGTATTTTGAATCATTGCTATACAACTACATATTGATTTATAGATTCAATGGCTATGATGGGCGTTTGGATCGTGAAATGGAAGCTGTCATTATGGTAATGGAAGCATTTCAAGGGTTTGAAGCTCAAATTCAGTATGATATCATGGGACATTCTGGTGAAGATTATAATTTACAATTTGTTGACCATAGAAAACCTCCTGCGGATAATAAACAACGATTGGATATTATCAAGGTAGCAATTGTTTTTAAAATTGGAATTAAATTATCTGCCCCCCTCTATTATTTTAATTTTTGAAGAAATTCTTCCCTGTGTATTTTTATTTTATTTTGCAGATAATGCATGCCCATTCTCAATTTTGTTTATCTGGAGATCATACATTAGAAGCAACAAAATTTGGAATATCTCAATTGAGTAAAGAAGATTGTGATGAAGCCATTGTTGTAGTTTTATCTGATGCCAACCTTCGTCGTTATGGTATTGCTCCTGAGAGCTTTGCAAAAATACTGACATCTGAATCAAACGTTAGCGCTTATGCTATTTTCATTGGTTCTTTAGGAGATGAAGCTGTAAGGTATAAGATTTTTTTTCTTTCATTTGTCAGTTTACGAGATATCTGCACATTACTCTTTTGAGATGCTTACTGGTCTCTAAAAATAATGATGTAATTTATGTTTTAAATTATTTTTCAATTATTCTACCCTAACTATATCATACATATGAATAATTAAGTTTATAACAGCTCCCAGCTGAGCTATCTAATTCATCCATAAATTATTATTTTCAGGTTGACAAAACAAATGCCAGCAGGTCGTGCCTTTGTGTGTCTGGATCTGACAAAACTTCCTCAGATCCTTCAGCAAATTTTTTCAGCTTCTGTGCTCAGTACTCGGTGATGTTGTCTATAAGCTAGGCTTTTTTTAACTCTACTTGACTTTGGGTTATAATAATTGTGCTTTAAGAAGTGAACAAAAAAGACTTGTAAAAACACCCAAAGTCATTGTATTATTATTTTGAAGATTATTTATTTTTTGTAATTTGAGTACACATTTTGCAGTATTTGTTAATAATATGTTATTAAATATCTTTGGTGTATTATATTTCAATGACAGTTGAATTAAAAATTGTGATTTTATTTAATTGAAATATCATTTTTACCTTTATCTTAGATTTGTGTCGTGTGCCAGAAAATCAAAAGATTTCTGTTTCTTTCTTAAATTAGTGAATGAAGTGACAGTATAAAAAAATGAAAAAAACAACTAAAATGTCAGATATTATTTTGACGAACTCTTTTCTTTGTTGAAGATATTGCTAGAAATGTTTTAACATGTGGTATAATAGTGAAAGGACATATGGCAGTTATCCATTTTGGTGGTTTATATCTTAAAATAAAGGAATTTTAAGTGTTTGGATGAACGATGAAATAATAATTTATGCTGAAAGGGCAGACAGTGTTACATTATGAGTGCAATGTTTCCTGCTGAGGGGATAAATGGAGCAGCTGGAATTTCGAACAAGTTATGTAACTCTTCTGTGCACGAGTCGTAATATGTTTTATTCCGAACTAGTTTACATTTCTGTGTTCTCAATTGAAGAAGAAGAAGAAGAAGAAGAAGAAGTCGGTTATCCATATGATTGTCATCATTTTCGGTGATAATACAGATATTTCTGATATGATCAAGGTGTAAAAGAAGGCCTTGGATAAGGTTGTTTAGTAGCATACAACAGATCCTTAATCGAGATACCTGGGAATGTGAAAACCTGCATGCAAAAGTGGGATTTTGCTTTTTATCAGAGCACGTATTTTAAATATGTATATTTTAGATAAAATAAATTAAGAGGAATCTTATTAAAATAAATTTTAAGTTTTACATTAAAATATTTATAATTGTGGTAAAACTACAGTAATATATATTTCAATCAATTTAAAAATATATAATAAACTTAAATATTGCTTTAGTTTGGGGGAGGGAGTAGTGAGACATTGGAGATTGGCACAATGAGGTTTTGCCTCCCAAGTAAGAAACAAAGCCAGTATTCCAGTAAATATTATTTATTACAGAAATGAAAGAAATTACTTTTGTACAACAGGAAAAATGGCTATATGCTGAGCTAGCTATAATTACTAAATACTTTATTATATAAATAATTAGCTATAATTGAATACTCGATTCATAATGCAACACCTCTCTGGTGGTAAGATAGAGGACGATCAACTGACACCCAGAGTTTGAATTCAAGAAACTGAAATATTTATTTAGTAAATTAATGAAATAATTTCATACTATTACATCAAAGTTAAATTGCTTTATAGAATCATGGAAGAAAGAAAAGAAAAGGCATGTGCAGAATATGTAAATATCATATTGTAAGGAAATTTTGTACACACATAAATTCATAAAAGGTAATGAATAACCCCGGAGGGCCACCTTGAATCAAGGAAAAGGAATTTGACTATTATGAAGTAAAATAAAATTCAGAACTGACAATTATTTACTTTGAAATAAGGACAAATTGATGCAAAACTAAACATAAACAATTGAACAAATCACTTACTTTACAGGAACTAGAACGATTTTAGAATTATAAAGAATTATTTTCTTCATATACCCTAGGCCTAATAACTTCTCTCTTCATCTTCAATTGTCCAAAAATCACAAGTTAGATTGAATATTGTTTGATTTATTAGTTGGTAATATAGGTGACTAATGCCATTATATCCATTGAACAACTGAATATAACATCAAAATTAAAATGTCACAGCTTGATGTGACAACTTCACAGTTATAATAGTTTGATGTTCATGATTGTTTTATGTCCACAATTTAATAGATTGATTGCACAGTTTAGAAACAGTACGAATAAATTATGATCAGAAATTGATTGTAGGAAAACATGTGTCTGATCAAAGGAGACATCGTAAAGTCTTGTCCTAAACAATAATTGTTACTAGGCAGCAACAAAGAATACACACAAGGACTGATTGGCAAAAATTAAAGAAAGAAAATACAGTAATATCATGAAATTAATAAAATTATGTCTTCAAATACCACAAAGCAAGAAAGATGAAGATGAAATTGTACAGAGTACAATTTGCTATGGAAAAAAGAGGGAGTATAAAAGAGGATACCGTCTGAAAGATAATCTCAGTTGGAAATTATACCTTTGAAAAGCAGAACATAAAAAAATGCACCAATGTTTATTCTTTGTAGCATAATTACCAACAACGGTGTAGCTTCAGTTGGTGCCACCCTGGCCAAAACTAATGGAATAGCTCCCCCTCCCCTCTGCCCTGGGTCACCCCTAAAATGGAGCCACCCAAGGCGGACCGCCCCCCATGCCACCTCCTAATTACACCATCGATTACAAAATTCCTTATTTATCATCTTAAATCTGTTATGTAATCCTGGGAGCAAGTCCCTGTTTAGCAGTTGTACAATTACAGAGCTTTGTGCGTAAGAGACTTAAAAATCAAACAATATCAACTTTCCACGTCAAAAGCAAGTAACGTAAGACATTGCAGAACATCCTTTCGTATCATTCAATAAATAATAATAATAATAATAATAATAATAATAATATTTATTGAGTCACATATACAATTACAATCGAGAATGACGAGTCAATATGATGCTAGGGTGGAAGAGAAGGAAGTTCATTACTGTTCAGGAGCAAACAAGGACCATCTCAGCATTTTGCTCAAAGGACGCACGGAAACTGAACAAAATCCTGAATCGAGATGGGGTCATTGGCCTAGAAATACAATATTTGTTACACTTAGAAAGTTAGATATTATACGTAGATAAATTTATGCTGCTAATAATTAATATTTCAACATTTTTTTTAATGCTACTACTTATAATAATAATAATTACATTAATATAATAATAATAATAAATAATAATAATAATAATAATAATAATATAATATAATAATAATATAATTATCAATAATAATTTGGAACAATAACATATCAATTATGTTTGCAACTACATCAAATTAAATTTAACAATAGTAGTACATTCTATATTTATAACTTGAAATGGTGAGGAGGCAATTTTTGACCAGTTTTTTTTTTTCTCCTCTTCTGTTTTACAGGATGGGATGTGCCAGTTCTTTTTTCTTTGCTTCAGCTTGAAACAGTTTACACAAAACAGAAAGTCTAATGGGATAAGAAATTCTTATTTATTTATATTTTTTAAGGGAAATGTTGTAATTTGAAAATTTCTTTACCCTGTAGAACATGTTGTTAAGCAGGAAAGCTTTCAATTTACTTTTAAATGTATAAATTGTGTTTATGTCTTTGATATCATTGCTTAGTTTATTGTAAAGTGTAATGCCCTCTATTAGGGTACTTTTTTTGATTAAGTGTAGTTTTAGAGTGGGGAACGTGTAGGCTATCCTTCTGACGGGTGTTGTAGTTGTGTACATCCGAATTTAAAGTAAAAGTGTCCTTGTTTCCCATGAGAATTTTCTTTGTGAATACCACTATTACAAATATGTACATGCATGGTAGAGGAAGAATCTTTAGTTTATTAAACAAGGGTTTGCAAGACTCCTGCTTATGAGTGCTGGTCATTGTTCACAATATTCTTTTTGGATAATAAATGTGTGAGTGCTTTCAGAGGTTTTTCCCCAGAATATTATTCCATATTTAAGGTGTGGTAAAATGGAGTAAATTATTAGTGACGATTAAATAATAATGGGCCTAAATCTACTTCCAAAGATGGGTAGGCTCTTGCAGATCTCCGAAACTAATACTATTTTTTAATTTAATATTATTAACTCCTCAAACACAATTGACAGAATGTCGGACACACACGAGTATGAGAGTCATTCTCGGTATTTTAATTATAATTATATAATTCTTTACTTACACAACGTGAAAGAAGCAGTAGAAATTCTAACTTAAGTCATGTTCGTCAAGTTCAGTGTTGTTCTTCCCATCACGCGACCTGCCTTTCGTTTTCTTCGGCGGCCACTCATTTTTGAATTGACAGAAGCAGAACGCTCTCCGTCTTCTTGACGTCCGTTCCTGCCTGACTCGTAATTTCATCTTATGTGAATGGTGGCGATATTATGTTTGTGAAATAGGAACGATCTGGGAAAAAGCTTGGTAATATGTACGACTGTCCGCATTGTAAATCTTTGTGTACTCTATGAAAAATAAGGAAACTTCGGTGTAGGTAGAAGGCCTTCGCAGAGTAGTGCGTTAGCAATGCTAACTTAGCATTCAACTTGAGACGATCACATCACGATGTCACTAAAGTATTATCAGAATAAAATGGGTCGATTGAAATTACTTCAAGTTAGTTTACATTGTTAACAACTTACATCGAACACGACACATTCGCATGGATGCGGAAATTTTAAGAGAAATTCACGACAAATTAATTTTACATTGGAATTACAGAGATCTCTACGAAATTCCGGAAGAACTGCGAGAAGAAGGGCAACATATTTTAGAAATATATTTAAAGTGTAATTTCATTAAGAAATTGGTAGGACATTTCACTTTGACCAGTTGTCATATTTTTTTGCATCGTTTCTGTTAGTTTGATTTAAATTATATTTTTCAGCCTAGTTGGTTAGGGCAACTGAAGAATCTCACTAACTTATATTTATATGGCAATCGATTACAGTCGTTGCCAAATGAAATTGAAGAATTGGAGTCTCTATTTTGCTTAGATGTGGGACTCAATAATCTTGTTACCCTGCCGTCAACAATTGGTAAACTGTCGCAGCTTAATTTTCTGTGTGCTTCAAGGAATTATTTAACTTGTTTACCAGACGGTAAGACTGCAAAATCTTGCAGTGGACAGTATCCCGAATTTGTTTTAAAACATTGTGTGAGCGTGCACCCAGCTTTAAAAAAAACAAAACTTAATGGTCAGCTTCTAAAAAAATACCACCTAACCAGTGTTTAAGCAAAAGAACTGTATAATGTTTTCAGTTAATAAAATTGTGCACTCCCAATTCCTTTTTCCTTGGACTTAAGTGTTTGTCAGGGTTATTGTGCAATAGTAAACTACAGACCAATCCTTTAAGTTGCTACTACCCAAATTCATTACTCTATTAAGTTTTTTGTTTTAAAAATGCTTGCTAATTGTCTACTAAAAAAAAACAAAAGCAGGTACAATTCTTTCCTGTAAGACGTTTCAGAAACTTGGCTATTTTGTTTTATAACTGTTTTTGTTTGTAATGTTATAATAAAGAATTATCTCAAAACCTGCCAGTTATTTCAGTTTTCCCAAGGTTATTTTTTCCCCTGCTTAAGATCACAACTGCATGAATTAAGTTCGATGAATTTGAAGTTATCTACCAATTACCTTGATTTATACTAATTCTATTAGCACTCCTCACAATAGGACTTGTTGCATGTATAAATTACATGTTTGTCTTTGCAATAATGTAAGTTTTATTCTTAAATACTCTCAATACCTCTGCAATTAAGTTCGTTAAGTATGTAAGAGAATTAACACCAAGCCTGAAATGTGTTCCAATCAATCACAATTTTAAAATTATTATATGTGTATTTTCCTTACAGCAAATAGTAACTTTACATTTCATTCTTTCTTACAGAAATATGCAAACTTACTTCTTTGAAAGTATTACTTTTATCTGGCAACATGATTTCTCATCTACCAGAATCAGTCTGCAATTGTATTGATTTGGAAGAACTTTGCTTAGACGAAAATTGTTTAACAAGCCTTCCTCAACGTATTGTCTACTTACCTAAGTTAGATTTCTTGTCAGTGATGGGAAATCAATTACTATATTTACCAGCTTTACCATTTATATCTTCTCCAAAATTGTGTTTTGAGAGGAATCCGTTTCTTAATTACTTAACATTCTGTTTAGGCAGTCAGTTCTCTTTCCTCGCAGGTCATGATGGGGGCATGTGGAAATTAGACACATTTGGGTATGAAAATTTGATAATTTAGTTCAGTAGTTGATAAAATTAATCTTGATAATTTAAAATCAATGATTTTTATGATTTCCAGATGCTTCGAATCTAACGTAGGTACAGAATTGCTCAGCAATTTTATTCTGCACATTAAAACTTCTTTTTATCCAGCAAGGAACTATGTTACACTTGTCATGCCACAAGATCTCTTGATGGTGTCCAATACATTACCAGGAAGCAAGAAAGTACCATCAATGTACGAGTTGTCCATCCGAGTTGTATACCAAATCTTGAATAACCACAAATTAAATATTGAGTACAGCAATGGTCACCATGTTATAACAATGATAAATGAGCAAAAGAATTGCATACCTCAAAATTACCCCCAAAATATAAGTAACCAATTAAGAAAAGGACCCACAACAATTTGTAATAATCCAGATTGTAATACTCCTATTTTTACGCATGCTTTTGTATGGATTATTTCCAAACAGATTGTAAACACAGCTGGTGATATACAAGAAATTTTATCTGCAATATTCTTTTGCTCAGATCACTGTAGTTCAAAATGTACAGCTTATGATGAATTCAAGTTATCTAAAATAAGTTGGCGATAAGTATAAGATTAAATACTAACATCAAGAAATGAAAATAAATTTTGTATTAAAATTTTAATTACAACTTAATAAACAATTATATACACATGTATGTGGTACATACCATACTTTTCTTGTAAGAAATAAACATGACTAGCATTAAAGCATTCACTTAACTATAAATTACAAGATTACCTTTACCTCTATCATGAAGCTTTTGGAAGCTTCTGTCTATTTTGTGCTCCAAGCTATTATGAAAATGTATAGTTTCATGATTTTGACATTTGTACAAGCAGAGCTAAACATTGCTGATGACATTATATAATGAATGCCAAGCAAATAAAATGATGAAAAGTGCTACAATGTTGACCACAGTTCTTTGAAAGAACATCTTAATTTCTATAAAACAGTGCTAATCACTTAATGTTGCTTTTTCCTTCAGCCATAGTCTGCACAACTTAATTTACTGAGACCTTTCTTCTGAATTGCAACAGCCACAGCTTTATCTAAAAAGTCACTATGTTCAAATGATGGTGAGTTTGCATCTCGCTTTTCTTGGGAACTTGATTCATCTGATTTATCAGCATTTATGGAATTATCTTGGACTCCATCATTTACTGAAGCAGAAGAGTTTTCTTTTGTTAATGTTTGTTCATCCACCATGGGTTCATCTAGAGATTTCATGTCACTATCACAGCTACTTTCACTGTTTATAACAGAGCTAAATAATCCATCACTGAACCACCTGTGCACAATTTCATTGCTGTTTAATTCACTGCTGAACGGAGAATGCAATAACTTCTGTGTATCCAACTCTCCTTGGTCCCAAAACACAGGCCTATGGTGAAAAGGATCCAAATTGACAAATGCATTTGTATCTTGACGAGGTGCATTGGCACAAACACATGGCATATTTGCATTTGTGGCATTGCGAGGTTCTCTGCAAGTTTCACTTTCGGCGGTATCAATTTTTGCTGCATCAGATATAATTTTATTTTCTGTATCTGACCCAGTCATTTCTCCTTCTGTCCTTAATCCATGCCTATGAATAGCCATGAGAACTGCTTCATCTTCAAGACCTTCATCATTCTCGCTTTCAGTCATGGGAAATTCATCAAGAATATCATCTGCATCTACTGGCAGAGGTACAAATCCCATATCCTCCAAAACTCTATTAATTGTATTGTCAACAAAGCAACGGGCAACTTGCCTTGCTTGCCATTTTCTCAATTGCCAACTTGTAGATGGTCGGGTGTTAGGGAACATAACATTTAAGGCTATAGGCCACTCTGGCTGGTCAATTGGGGAATTTTGAGATACTGGTGTTACAACTTTCAGGTTTTTTCCATCACAATTTGTAACATCTAACAATGCACTAGGTTCAGTATTAATTTTAATTTCACTACTTGTATTTGGGTCTTGAAGAGCAGCACTGTTTTCAGAGACTTCCATTGTGTTTAATTCACTTCCACAATTATTGTCAGTGTTAAATCCTGTATGTTTACATGGCAATATGACAGATGAGCACTCATCCTTAACGGGGCTTTTGGTTGGAAAACATGATACTTTTTCATCATCTGGTTTCTTTAAATGATATTTCCCTTTAATTTGCCAAACATAGCGCGCTTTCTTCAAAGGTCTGTCATCGATTTCATCTGACTTGCAAATTTTAGTAGAGGTTTCACCTTCCTCATCACTTGTTCTGCCCATGGTTTGTGCATTCAAATTCAGATAAGATCCAATACGCTAGAACTATGAACAAATGTATATGAAGGTAAAGAGAAGACATTAACAATAAATACTCATTATTGATGGGGCAGTGACATTTGCAGTCATAACTGTGAACACTACATCAGAAACTTTTAACAAAAAAAACAACAAAAACGCCCCTTTATTATAAGTGGAGTGTTCATAATCCAATTACCACCAATTATGCTTGTAACATTTGCATCGGTTTGGGATGAATGTTCACGATGCCAGTTCACGGACACATCCCAGTCTGAGAAAAATCACATCAAGTCAATACCATCGAACAGGGGTGAATTTCACCACTCGATGTCTTTAACGTTGTACGAACAATTATGCTGCGGCTCCTGTCAGTTCCTAATTACTTATACGCCCGTGTGAGTAAATAATAGCAATTAATTCACGTATATAATACGAACAGGCGACAGGTAAAACACAAACGGATGCCATGATTGGCCATGACAGAATAAGCATCGTATTCTGTCATATCCGCCCACTTTTCAGAAGGAAAACCACAGCTTTATGTCCCCAAACATCCTTTCACTCACACATACATATTGAAGAGGTAAACAAATCAGGCCAATTAATACATTCCTTCACGGAAATAATATAAAACATTCCCCTCCCACGTCTGAAAATGGTAATACTGATAGTATGTCCTACAATCGATATCCTCTGCAATTTCGTGCTAGGGAATAGAACCAATTAATTGATTAATCACTCATGAGGAAATGTTATAAATAATAGAGTGTTTCCGAAGGTACAAGAACATTATGTTCTCCGTTAAGCAATAAATACCAAAAATTTGACGTGAGTGTTTCAGAGTTGGCTATTCTGTTTTAGAATACTGAATTCGGGCGTGTGTGTTTTGTTACTTTTTGTATTTTTTATTTGCGTAAAGGTGTTTCTCCCTGACCTGATCAGGCCAAGGTTATGTACGGTTATGAGCAATGAGAACTTCAGTAGTGAAATTGAAGGGTGATGGTTCATTCGGTTTATGAACATGTCAAGATCAAACACCCGAACGCAACCTGCAAAGTAATGCAAAGTGTATCTGACATTTATGACATATTAATTCTGGTAAGTATATACTTATATGCTTGAAAAGAACTAAAGTTACATTTCACATAATGCTGTTTTGAAATAAATCATAAATAATTGTATTAATGTAGTGTAAAATAGTGGAATTTTGTTTGGGAGTTCATGAACCTTCTGTAACATCCATATTTGGTGCTGCTTGGAACTTGCAGAATAAGGACCTGTGACTGGTTACAGTAATTTCTTTTCTATTTACAAGTTAAATTAGCAATGTACTTCTTAGTTATTAGCAAATACATTATATTTGAATAATAGAAAAATGTCATTAGATTAGTTTAAGCTATTAGGCATTTATTACAAATATTGAAAAGATTTGTATGGCAGGTTTACAATATCGTAGATGGGGAATGGAGTCAAACCTTGTGGCTGAGTTTGTAGCTCAGACTGGAGCAGACTCCACTGTAGCTCAAACCTTTCTTCAAGGTAAAGTTTGGATACTTCTTGTCATTTATTTTATATAAAACCTGAAACAAGGGTCTTTATGTTATCATTATCTTTCTAAGCTAAAGGATGGAATCTAAAGTTGGCTCTGCAAGCTTACTTATATATGCCTGATGATACATCGAATCATTGGTCAGTTCATGAAGAAAATGGTAACTTGACAGAACCTAGGCATACTTTGTCTTCAAGACCTGTGCTACAAAAATCAGATGCTATTGATTGTGGTATGTGTAAATTGTGATTGTGTTGATGATTCATTTGACAGAAGTTGACTGTCATTGTTCTCAAATATGGTTGTAATTTTAACAGCAAAAAAACTTACGAGAGGGATTTCTCGGGCTACAGAAAATATTAATTTGGTGTCAAGAGCCCGGTCAGATATAGCCCATGATTTCAGAGAAAACACAGTTTATAATGTGAATCATTACTTTATTGAAACACCTGTATTTACATTCACTCTTCCTGACTTGACAATTTATCCAGGTAAGGATGAAATCAGAAAAACTTATTATTTTGTGGGGAACTTTTGGTTTGATTGAAACTTTGATTTTAATATACAGCAGCGCTTGTATTAAGTTTCATGTACCAATGTTTCAGAGGATTTCCGGGGATTTTTGGAGAAGGATCTGATTGAGATGTCAAGTCTAGTCTCTCTTGAACAAGCAGGAAGATTAAATTGGTGGGCTGATTCAGGGGCATGCCAAAGATTGTGGCCATTAGCAACCACTGGTGATGGCAATTGTTTATTGCATGCAGCTTCATTAGGTATGTGTCGTTCCTTTAGTTGATTTGTAATGGGTATACATGTATGTAATCATTATATTTTACTGTTTTATATTTACTTGTCAGTTACACATCCAATGGTGTCAGTGTTCAGTTACAGTAAGGGATAGTGACAGTAGTTTGTTATTGTAGGAATGTCTTGTATATTTCATTCAGAGGAGGAAAAAAAATACACGCTTAAAAGTAAATTTTGTATTACCCCAAAGTTTTAAATAGTTAAATAATAGTCTAGTATTAAGACAACAGTTAATTATTTAATTTAGATAAAAATTTGTTTGTTTTGCAGGCATGTGGGGGTTTCATGATAGATTACTTACTCTTCGCAAAGCTCTTTATGGCTTTTTAAGTAGCAGTGAGTGTAAAGATTCTCTTTGGCGTCGTTGGCGGTGGCAACAGACAATAATTAATGCTCAAGCTGGATTTGTGTATTCAGAAGAAGAGTGGAAGAGAGAATGGAGTAACATTGTGGAAATGGCATCTACTGAACCTAGGAAGTTGGAGAGTGGACGTAGGCGCAGTATTCTTATTGATAGAAACTTGTGAGTTAATGAAATAAGAATCCTGTTGATATCAACATTTTAGAGGAGAAATTTATGATAAGGGAGGATATTTCTGTACAGTTTTTTGTATTTTTTTTCATTTACAATTAGGTTTGGTGTGATGAACTTTGAATTTTGTAATGCTGATACAAAGTCAGTCCAGCTTATTCAAATTCAAGAAGTTGTGAGACTGAAAAGTAAATTTCATGAATTTTGAATTAGCTTTAATTATCATTACTACATTTTTTGGCAAAATTTGAAAGAAATGTATATATATTACAGATTTATTAGAAACAAAATTGTGTGTGGCATATGCAATTACAATTTAAGAAAAACATTAATTTTTTTTATGTAATAATTTTTATATTAATTTGTTGAATAGCATATGAAATAAAGGCTATAATTGCAGCAACTAATGGTACAAAAACAAAACATGAGTAACATTTTAATTTGGTTGTGACATTTTATAATATATGTAATGTCCAAAGTGCATTAATGAAAAAACGGAATTGAAACAATATTTGAAGCATACATTGCAAGATTTCAGTTCATGAGAGCTCTATTTATAAATTTTATGTAATAAAAAGTGATTGGCATTAAAGTGTCATTACCAAACAAAACTCGCGTATTGAAGAAAATCATTGAATTGAAAATAAATTTCAGTTAATTTCTAGGACTCGTTCCCAGAAAGTTTTCTTGCCATCTGAAATGTTAACAGAATTTTCAACCAAGTGTATTATTTTTTATGTGAATTTTAGATAAGTTTGTTTTCCTAGTGGTATAAGAGTATCAAGTGTTTAACTTGAAAAAAGTATGCTTAAACTATTTGAATTTAAAATAATTTGTTGTTAAGAAATGAATTCACTATTTTTTTGTATTGCTTCTTTAAATCTTTTGTAAAATAACTTCTCTTCAAAGTTGAAGTGTTGTTTTCAGTATTTATTGTTTTGTTTGGCAACTGGTGGGATAGCAAAGCAATTATGATTAAAACAGTTATGATTTTAATCCTTCCCTCTAGATGTCTTTCAAGTGATTAATTGTGGTATTCATTTTTTTGTTGTTGATTTGTCAGAGATGAATTGAGTGAAAATGCTACTTATGAAAGTTTGGAGGAAATTCACGTACTGGCTCTTGCTCATGTGTTAAGAAGACCAATTGTTGTTATTGCAGATCTAATGCTTAAGGTGAGGTACTATGGTATTAGAGAACATTTTTGTAAATTTATTATAGAGCCTGAATGTAAAGATTAGTGATGTATCATGAAGAGAATCTGTTCATTACAGGATGTGAACGGTGAAGACCTTGCACCCATTCCTTTTGGTGGAGTATATCTTCCCCTGGAATGCGCTGCATCTGATTGCCACAGGTCTCCATTGGTACTAACTTATGATGCTGCACACTTTTCAGCTTTGGTTGTGATGGAGAAAGAAACTTTTGTTGATCGAATGCCGCAACCACCAGGTAGCATCTTGCTTTCTTTGCGTTGAACATTTTTAAAGTGTATGTAATGGTGTAATGTAATTTTTTCTTTTTTTTTTCAGCTGTCATACCAATAACAAATTCAGACCATGAACTCTTACCTATTCAGTTTAGTATTGATCCTGGCAAAAACTTTAATTGGAATAGTGATGAAATGACAAGTTCATTATGTAAAAAATTCAGTTTGTCTCTTGCAGAACAAATGGGCCTGTTAGGAAAATATTTGGATATTATCCAAGTACCTATTCCAAGCTCTCCAGGTGTTGATGAAGGAGATATAGAACTTGAGGGTGGAACTAATAATTTCACAAATGACGAAGAAGATATTGAAAAGAGGTTTTGTGAAGTCCTTGAAACTAATGTAAATGAAGATAATACTCAAATGGGAGATTCTGGTTTATTTACAGGTAATCGAAGTAAAGCTGCCAAACAACTTCAGTCTGTAGCAAAACAGTTTGGAAGTATTGGGAAATCAATGAGTAAAAAACTAAAGAAGAATCTTGGTTCTATTACAAAAATTACTCGTACAAATTCTCAAAAGAAAGGTGTGTCAACTAGTCCAGTGCGTCAAACTACAAGACTAAATTCAAATTTAGTTTCTCGGTCTCAAGATTATATTTTGTGTGCTCGCATTCATACAGAAAAACGTCATGAATTCCAAGAGGAAATGGTTAGAAATTATCTCCAATCAGCAAGAATTCGCTTTCAAAGAGACAAAGTATTAAAACAGAAACAGGCTGAAGAAAGGCGTCAAAAGGATGAAATGAAGTTGAAGGAACTTGCCCGACTAGAAGGTCCATCAAATTGTATTAACCCGGGTTGTGATCAATATGGTACTGCTATTACAAGTTACATGTGTAAAGATTGTTATGAAAAACAAAGAGATCGAGAAATGTCTACAAATATCAATAGTCCTGTGCCATCCAGAGTTAAAGTTGGTGCATCTGGTGATTCTGATAGTTCTGTTTCAGAGGAAGTGTATGCTCCTCGATATGGGGCGGGCAAGTCACGATTCTACACAGAGGCAGATGCATTGTCTCATAGTGTTGTGAGTCGTCTGCCTTCATCCAAAGCAGGAAGCAATATAGATCAGACCCTTTATCTTTCTAGGTCCACGTTTTATAATGACACCTCATCAACTGTAAATTCTTCTGACAATAAACTGAATGTCAAGGCAGACAAAGAAAACCTAAGAACATCAGGCCAGGAGTATTCAGTGCCTAGTTACAGTCCTAGTCCTACTGGGAACTGGCCAGAAGAAATTGGTGGTCTTTTGGGAACAAAAAGTGGTACAAGCGAGACTCCTTTGGCCCGAATCCACAGTTACAATTTGGCCAGGACTTGGGAAGGAAATAGAACAAGTGATGGTCATAAAGTGGATTCCAGCCACAGTGCAGGGGTATGTTTTGAGTTTACTTGATTTGTATGCACAATAGTTTTAGATTTAATTACATATTAATTTAGATTTGTGTGTGCACTTATAATTCATAGACATGAGTGTTATGATTTCTTCACCAAAATATTTTGGGCGAATGCACCCAGACCTTGTATTCCTGTGCTTTTTGTACTTTTCACTGAGCAATAACGATCCCAGAGGGTAATATGGATGATTTAAGCAAAAAACTATTTTGTGTTTTCTGGAATGTGATTTCCTGAACATAAAGATAATTTTTTTACAGTATGTTATCTATTAGTCAGCCTGGGACAAATCCAGACAATCATTTTGGAGGGGGGGGGGCATCATAGATTTTGTTAAATAATAAACATATGTGCTTTTATATTGTATATTATTTGTGTTTTTATGAATACGATACTATAGAATATTTTCTTTAAATAATTACATAATTTGAATATAAATATTTATATCAATTTTTCTAAGTAAAAAAAGGTAAATGAAAACTCTTGGCCATTTGCAGGGGGGAGGTGTCATGCCCCCCATGTTCCCCCCCTGAGTCTGGTAGTGTAGCCAGCCTCAACTGCTTCTGAACTGGTTGATTTTTTTAAATTTTATTTTATGCAATTTCTTGAAAAATATTTTTATTTGATCCCTGTAACTCATGAACCCTTCTCCATTTTTCTGTCATCAGTGAATCCCGTTTGCTTCTAATGTTCTCAAATCCTGACATAATCAGTCCTACCATTTTTTGGATCTATCTTCAGGTGTCATTCCTTGTTTCATTTTGTATTCTTGTTTTATCCATGCTCCTTCTGTTCTTACCAGCTGATTTTACCATTCTGTTCTTTTGTATTTTATCAATGCAGCCATATATGCTCCTTGAAAAAGTTTGTAACTCCATTATTCTTTACTCTATAATCTCCATTCTAGTGGTAGGATTGAAAAATCCTACTGTCATGTTTCATTGTAATTTTGTGTGAACTCGTAATAATATCCCACAACCAAGAGAACTGGTTTTCTCAACACTGTGTCGAGTAGAAGAAAGTATGCTTATAAATATGATATAGATTTGATTTACATTAAAACCTCTGAAATTTTGAAAATTAGGAATCTTCTTTATTTTCTTTTACTACTTTTGTATTTTGAAACTGACCTCCTACTTACGAGCCTCTCAGAAGCCACATTGAATAATTCCACACTTACTGAAAATGTGAAAATGAATAATATATAGTGGTTTGTCCAAATTATCATTCTGAACTTTTACTGAGTTCCACAAAATATAGAAGTCACTAATTCTATTAATTTAAGTAGTCTGATATTAGACACTTATTCAAATTGCATACAATTTAGGCTTTCTCTAGGTTATGGTGTCAAATGAATCCCTAATATGATGTTGCGTTTGATACATATTAAAATTATAGTCAAGATACAGTTACTTCTAAAATTAAAATGTTTAACTAACTACAAAAATGTGAACTTATATTTATATATTCATTTGCTTTTTTTTTAAATGTAAGGTAATTGTTGCAGTACTCTATTATAAGAATTAGCCTCTTTTCTTGAGGCCTCATGTTCTTTTTGTGTATTCTAGTTATTAAAAACTTGATTTATGCAGTATACTCTATGATTATTTGAATGTAATTAATTTTTTGTATTGATAATTTTATATCCCTTTTCTATGCATATACCAATGGGAATATGTGATTTGTATACCGAGGGTTTAAATTAAGCCTGGAGGGTTGGGACAAGTTTAATGAGAAAACATTGCTAGTTTCTTTTTTGTTCTGTTTCTGAATAATGTACAACTAATTTACTGATGAAGAGGTTTAAGGTGCATTCAAAATAATGTAAATATCTTTGAAAGTAATAGCTTGTCCATAGACGTTTCAATTAAATTTGTTTCATGTAGTATCAGAAGATGTTTGGAATGCTCACAGCTGAAACAAATGTGGCGCCTTTTCATAACTTATTGTTAAGAAACGAGTTCTGTTGTAGTCATGGATATAGATTGGCTTAGCATATTTTGATGTTGATAAAGGTTTTTATACAGAAAGTATATTACCGTGGGAAAGGACTGAATTTTTAATTTTTAAAGTCTTTCCATGGTGTTGTGCAATGTTTTCTTATTCATTAAAAAAAATTGATAAATATTAACAATGTTTTTTTCAGAATTAGAAATTGTTTACATAGGAGAAAGTGCTAATGCTATCCTTTCATGTTGTGCTTAATTTAGTGCATTAATGTGTTAATACATAAACTCATGAAGATTCTTATTTAGGCATTTGGCACTAACACAACTATAATAGAATGAAGAAAATATGATTTTACTGGGGGAAGAGAAGTTCAAAAACAAATCAGTTAGGTAAAGTGATGCACAGTTGATTAATCAAATCAATTGTGATTCAGATTATACTCAATTACAAATACAATGTGGTTATTCTCAAAGCCTTTTACATTAGAGATCAAAATTTATTAATGATACATTGCAGGACTGCTTCAGACAGAATATGAATTAAATAATTAGCCACGTTTGACAAGTGACAGTCACGACTTCCATTACTGTTAAAATAATTGCTTCTTTTACCATTTCAGCATACATCTAATTCTACATTAATGCCTGAATCCAGTTGTCCACCTTTAAGATCTTCAACTTCATTGGGTACCCGCAATGTTTCTGTTGCAACTTTGAGTCCTCAGTCGAGCAATGAGTTACCGAACGTGGAGAGAGTCACAGCTGGTCATCGTACTGCTGTAGGCGTCTGGGTGCCGTGTTCAGGAGCATACCCATGTCGTACAAACAATTGCAAATTTTTTGGTAATCCAGAAAGTGACTATTACTGTTCTAAATGTTATAAAGAAGTTGTGCAACCTAGTTTAAAGAGTCTCCAAGTTCAAGAAGTGAAGAGGTAGTGGCTCTTATTGTGTTTTATGTAATGCGTTTGACTTAAAACACTCCTAATTGTTGTTTTCTACACAGTCTGACATTAATTAATTTCAAATAATGTTTGATATTATTTGGAAGAATAGAACGTGTAGTTTATTAAATTATTATTTCCTTAGTTACTTTTATTGAAACAATCTTTCTTGGGAGACTAATGTAGCTTTAATTTGCTTTAAATAGTGACCATGTGTTGTGTGTTATTGGCAAATAACTTTTAATGATTAGGTTTGGCAAATGGATTAGTTTCCCAAATAAAGGTGTACATCGATGCAAATTTTTCTTCTTTTGATTGAATACTGTTAATATTTGTACCTGAGGCGATTACTGTTCTATCGAGTTCCTTTGATAAATGGTTGTATAACAAATTGGGCCTTGAATAATACAAACAAATTCAATGATTCTTTGTATTGTATGTTTGCTTTGTAAGATTAGCGTGATAAATTCTCATTTGTCTTGTCCGAGTTGCTTCGAGAATGCACACTAGTCATCTGTACTTAATTTTTGTGTGTGGGAAGAATGCTGTCTACTCTTTTGTATTTTAGAACTTATCACTGTATCAATTCTTAATGGAAGTACAATAATATTATCCCTTATTTATCAGCTTTTGACAGCATTAAGAATTTTTTTGAATGCTTGAATATTGAAGTTATGACTGGTCAGATTTCTGTAGTTTTATGCTCTTGCTTGTCTTCTGTCTTTCAATTATAAACAGACTTACTTCTTTATTCTTATGTGTGTTGTGTATGTTTTGGGAATGCAACATGCTCTCAGTTTGTGTTGAAAGTTGTGAATGCAGCCTACAAAGGGCATTCATGTTCTCAGACTTGATTAGTTTCTTTCTACGAACTGAACTGCATCTCCTTACTATTCATGCAGCAATGCTCAACTAACTTTAACTAAGAGTGAAACTAAATTAATTGCTCACTATGTATGTTTAATAGATTTTTGAATGAATGTAAATTGTACAGTCTGCCACTTATGCCTTCTCTAGATGTATAGTTTTTAACTGCTAAGTCATAATGAATTCTATCAGATAAGAACAGTATGTATTAAAAAAGGTGCCAAAATTTGTAATCCCAGCAGAACATATTCTTAATTAATAGTCATGCAGCATTATGTGATAGTCGTTTATGCAAGAGCACTTTCTTGCTAGAAATAGAAGGAAAAAAAAGCTATTCACACTCATTAGAATTTTCAGAATTACTGAGTTATTTCTTGGCAACGATTGTCTGTTGGGATTGTAAATATGTTAATAGATATTTTTTTCTGAAATGCAACTTTCTTTAAACTGGGGAAGTGATTTTGCTATAATGTTCCAGCAAAGTCATCCAGATCATCCAAATAATTTGCATTGAAACAGTTATTTACAATACAGTTTCACTAGGTGTCCTTCTGTGTATAAGTATTAATGTTATAAATATCTATTTTGTAATACTTAATCTATATACAATTGTGCATATGTATATACATATATGCATTCCTGGAAATGTATGGCTATATACACATCATGCAGTTTATTTTCCTTTCATTTTTGTGTACTAACTTTGAGAGGAAAGCTGACATAATGAATAATACTCTGCAAGTTTAATTATTAATACAGTGAGTATGTTTATGAAATTGTTGTAAATGAGAATCATATGGCAGTGTTAACAGAAACTAGATTTCTAAAATATTGTTAAAAATACCATAACAATTAAATATTTGTTAATACTAACCTTGCAGTAGTGAAATTTTACTGATATTGTATCCACAAGTGAAATACTAGTCGAACATAGTGGGAATAATGTTTGCTTTGTTGTGTTGCTTTCAATTTGTTGTGATATATAAGTATATTTTTAAGCATAATAATAGTAGGTCAGCTTTTGCAACTGAAGTATCATAGTTTGATAAACTTTCTTAGTATGAATAAAATGGTATTATTTACATTTTGCATTATTGTTTATTTCCACTTCACCCAGTTTAATTTTGTTTTTGTTTGCAGCAAAAAACTTGAATATCATGTGCATATTCCTAATGAATTAAAGGGACAAAGTTATAAATGTTTTTGGGAATATTTTGAAACTTTGAATTTTGAGATTGAGTACTGAGAATTTTTGATCATTTTTCTTTTATTTTGCATCAGCATGCAATAATGAATTTTATTGTTTAATCTCCAGGGTATTGCATAGTATATATGGAATATATTTTGTTGTAACAACATTATTTTGACTTTTCAAATTTAGATCATGTTTCTATTAAATATTGTCATGAAGGTTAGAAAATTCTGCCAAAAAATAGTCTTCCCTGATTTTTGGTGCATTCCAATTCCATATCCAAATAAAATACTTATCTAATAAAAGTACATTTTAATAATGTTCGTTTCTAAGGCAAATTGTTAAGTTTGTTTTGTGAATGGAAAAAAAATAATTTTTTTTTATCTAAACTACTTTATAGATAAACACCGGAAGCTGTTGGATGCGATACTGATGTAAACGAGACTTCTTCCTTTTGTTCAAGTGAACTCAGCTTGCAAACGTTGGGTTTGGACTGTTCTTGAAAAGAAAATCTCTGCCTTTATTGCAAAATCGGCCAATCTGACAATGGCACTGAGAAATGTCACAGGAACCTTAGATTACATTGTAGGCCTACTGACAATGCGGTGACATTACATATAGGAGGCGAAAAATTGAATGTATTACGTTAGGAATTCGTGCGTGAACATTTGTTGCACATCGTAAAATTGGTTTGAAGGCAAGTAGCATTAAAACGTGATGAAATCAGCACAAAATGCCAGTCAGAAATGACAAAGGAATTACAAAATGACTTATTAGATTGACATCAAAGAAAAATGGAGGAAAAAAAAAGGTCAATAAAAATGAGTATTTCATTTTGTCATAACTTAAAATGAATTTCTATACTAAACAGTAATGTTCTAAAGTGGAAAAGATGGGAATAAAGCCACTTCATTAAAAACCACCCCCAATATGACAATGCTTGATAATCTAACAAGGAAAGCTTCACTTGAAGAATACAAAGGAATAATTTATCTGACAAAACTGCAGAATGATGAATTGCATTTTCGGCATATGGTAACGGTAGTAAAGGGTGTTAGTTTTTTTTGGTTATTAAAATTTAAAAACGGTCAGATATTGTAAATTTGGATTGACATTTGCGATTCATTGACTACAATGCCAAGGTGCAATTTATGGATTGATCAGATTCATAGCATCAATTGAAAAGGTCTTTCCTATCCTTCAATTTCATTATTTAACTAGTGGTGCTACATAATGTCACAGAGTGTCTCGTACTAATTAATTTTTTAATTTCTTTGGTTGGGCTAGCATTTAGGACTTGTCACATGCCTCTTATGCTGCCAAAATTACATTTTTTGAAATTTTCTCAATTTTTTTGTTTTTTAACAACGAAACTGAAATATTCCCTTAAGAATATTAAAAAAGTAAAAGTTCATCCTATGTGGATATTTCTGTTGCAAAATTTGGAGGGTTTTTTAAGAAAACAGCATTTGAGTGTTTCTGAAAACACGGAATAATGAACTTCTTTACACAGAAATCTTTTACGTTTTTGAGAATCTCTATAAGATTTCATTTGAAGTATGTGTACTCATAAATGAAATAACATGGACAATATGCCGCTACGCAAAGTAAATATTAATGATGAGACAAGTAAAAAAAAATTACATTTTTGTAATTTTTGAAAAAACAAGATTAGAGCAATATAGTAATTATTATGGCAACTTTTAGAGTACATTTAGCACTATCCCTACCAAAATTTTAAAGAAAAACATTTGACTACTTTTTGAGAAAACCTTGTTTTACCATTTTTTAACATTGCGTGAAAACTACAGAAATTTTCAAAAAAATGCACATGATCTTAAAGAAAGAACTAACTATGGAGAAAAGGTTTTATTTGAAGATAAAATGTTTATCTTCAATTTTGTACTAGTAGGAATAAGCCCAAATTCAGTGTCTACAGTGAAAAACAGACCTTAGCCATCTTTATAAGTGTATTTTACTTTTTTCTTACAAAACATTTGGAGCCATTTTTGAGAAAATTTTGAAAATATCCATGGGGATTCATGTAAAGTACCCCCTTTGAAAGTATGTTTTTCAAAATCGTAAAGCTTGGAGTTGAACGAGATCAACTGGGGAATATTCATTTTGGAACATCCTATGTGCGGTTTAGGTACTAGTGGTGTTCACAGATGGATGGATGTTTTGCCGTCAATTGATTTTTTGGTATCACGGACCCACAAATCATCTCAGGGTTCGTCATTAAGAGTTTTTCTGCCGATAATTGAAAATTTTTTTCCACAGTAATTCATAACTTTCTCTCTACTGCATAAGTGGTAGGGAGAAAGTAAAATGAACCTGTAGCTTCATTCAAACATTTGGAGAGAATATAATATTTGAATCATATAGAAGATGTAAATGCTATTTTTCTACAACCTATGATAATTGAAAAGAGGACACAACAACAAAAACAAAAAACCAATCTTCTTAATAATTTGATCAAAGTTTTAAGGGAATTAAGGGAGTTTTATTACCGTGTTGTAAGCCCTTAATGAGGAATGGATTTCAAACCAGATGTTTTTACAAATTTTATGTTTTTCATTGTTATACATCATTATTTGCCTTGCAGATGATTTGTAGGAAAGAAATACTTTTGAATAAAAAAGGCATTTACTAAACAATTAATTTCATTGGAAGATATTCTTCACATTGGAATAGATTCCCTACAAGACAGATAATATAATAACGATCACAAGGCTACTACTGGCTGGTCTGGGCCTAGTTTTCGTTTACCTTCCTATGTAATTACGTAAACAATAATATTGTATAGTATCATACCTACATAAATAATATAATAACAAATATGTTTATGATTTAACAAAAATCTATGATTTGTATTATGAAATAACAAAATCACTAGTATTGGTGGAGGTACTTTTTACTTCAAATTTTTAACATTTTCCCCTCTAAAACGGCTCCATATTTTTTCTGAAAATTGTCTCCTCAAATCAAAAGACGGAATAAAAATTGATGCTGTTCCCATTTTTTTGGGAACTCTGTAACATTCAAAATTGCAAAACGTTAACATTGCAAAAGCACAATATTGATTGCACCGATGGTTTTAAAATGAAATGTTCTAAATAATTAGATTTATAACTTTTTAAAAGACCATTCTTTTTGCATAATTTCTGCTTGAAGTTAATTCAAATTACAAAAACAGTTCACATTTCTTCATTTTTATCTCCTACAAACAGAACAACAGATGCTTAAAAAACAGGGCAGGTCTCATTTTTTTTAAACACTAAATTTAAAAAAAATTGCAAATGTTAATTTTTTCAAAAAACAATGCGAAAAAGTATGTGCTGTTACATTTGTGTTATGCATGGCAATTAAAAAAATCATACAATGTTTTCAATTATGTTTAAATTAAAGGTGAGGAAAAAAAGATCATATGTGCAACATTTAACGAAAAGCTGCAAGGTAGCTACTGCAATCCAGCCTTTTTTTGTCCGAATAACCCCCCTGATTTTGTCCCCTGACAATGATAGAATGGATTTCTACAAGGATTTGTTAGAATGGTGTTGAAAGCAAACATTCCATGAATGTAACTATATGAAGTTACCTTCAGAATCTTGCTTATCAAGCACATAAATAAGGATAAGAAAAATTTATAGCACCAATTTGAATGATTATTTTATGTTTTTAAAAGCATATTTCTAGTTTTTCATACCTGCAAATTTGCAGCTTACTAATGATGTATCGAATAGAAGAGAGATTAAATTGGACCATAAAACATTTTCAAATTGAAGCTGAATGTTGACATGTGCTTCTTGCTCGATTGGAAACAATTCTATCCACTGTTTGGAGTGGATACCTTACAAGAAAAGATCAGGCATTTCAAAAAATGTACAATTTTGATGTACCTAGTGCAGTAAAACAAACTAAACCTTCCAAACCACAGAAATGCAAGTCATGCTAAAACTGAAAATTATATTAATCTCTCTAATTGCACCAAACTAGTGAAATTCTTAAAGGAAGTTGTGAAGCTCAATTAACGTTATTAAAATACATTAATCGCACACTTTCAATAATGCTCCCACAGTTTATGCAAGGTTGAATTTAAATCAAAAATAACTTTTTTCTGTTCCGTTCTTTAAGATTCAATTAAATGATTAGAAATTCAATCTAGTGTGTACATAATTGTCAAACAAATTCATAATAACAAACATGCATTTTGCTGATGTTAGCTTAAGAAAACAATGCATATTGCGTAGGCATCCATTTGAATAAAGAACATTAAAAAGTTTGCCGACAAAACATATTAGATATTGAGTAACATTATGCATCTCAATACATCAAAGTTCTTTAGTATCCTGAATTTCCATGTACTTTTTTTTTTGTTATAAAGTGTCAACTATTGCAGTCAGAAGAAATGTACCATTTTTTGTCAGATAAAAAAATGCATATTTTGTTGTGCTCTTCTTTGCTAGTAGCAGTAGTGCCAAGAGTGCAGTAGTAGCAAGTTATTATTTTGTCAATTTCACTATAAAATTAAATTTGTAGATCTCTTGCTAATTCAAATATGTTTTCTATTGCTCAGAAGGAAACATTTCTGGCTTTCAAATGTCAATAATGCTTATTGGTACCATTATTAATAATTCAACTTATAGAAAGATATTGAATAAGTATAGATTCTGGAGTTGAAGTAAACATGTACAGGTACAAGATACTTTTACCCCATGCTTTTTATGATAAATTAATAAAAAAATAATGCTCTAAAGTAAAATTTAAGATAGTTGCTACTTTCTTTCTATCAAATTAATATATATTATTAACAATGATTTAAATAAGTGAGAGCAGTGTAGTATCACACAATGATTTTAGTTATTTCAGTAATAGGGCTAACAATAGTGAAAGAAATTATCATTTCAATTAGACATTTTGTACATAATGTGTTTAATGTTGAAAGGCCAAAAACGAGTTTTACATCAATTACATTCTCAAAATTAACTTGAACAGAATATGTCAATCAAGTTGCACAGTTCATTTAACTTCTTCCAACACCAGGGCCTTTGCAGTAATAGGAGGTAAATCTCTAACACCATCTTTGTCGACAACCTGAACTTTAAAGTTAGGCTGATTGATAACCAGTCTCTTTTGTATTTCTCGCACACACTTCTTCAATAAATCATAGCCCTCTTCAACAGTCATGTCAGGTCTGTGGTAACGATCCATGATAGTGAGAGCGAAGAAACCACCATACCCATGTACAGCAAATGGAATCTTCACAAGAGAAGCCAAATAATCAAGAAAATATAATTGAGGACCAGTTTCATTGTCATAGCCAGCTAGCAGCATATTGACGAAGTACGGACTTCTGCTTCTCAAATAATCAGCCAAATTACGTCGAGTGAAGTTTGCTGTTGCGTGAGGTGAAAGTTCATATCCATTTCGCATTTTATAAAGCTGAACATTTTTGGCGATGTATTCTGCGAATTGTGTTGTGTCTCCAGCTTCGCCGCTCACTGCCATAACCAATTTGCTTGAAATTCGATACAATTTGTCTTCATCATCTTTCATAAGTAACACGCTGTGAGCGTTTGACATGTCAGCTGCAATAAGCACGAAATCTCGAAACGTAACTCCCATTAACGTTTCCATTTTCAGGATATAATTCTTGAAATCCACAAAATACAAGACTTTACTCAGTTCAGGCCACAAACCACATCAAATACGAAAACTCATTGATGACAGTGCAACCAACTTTTCGAACAATTCAAAACCGTGACTAAGGTGTAAAGAACATACATAACAAAACAGCTCACGTTTCGTTGTTCATTCCAATCAATAGGTAGCGCGCAGTGTATCATTATATTAGAGTCCCTTTACTTTAATTCAAATAACAAGATACTTAAAAATCACGAACTGGATGGAGATGGATCACTTTCATCCAATTGAAAACTTTGTTGTAAATATTTTTTTATATAAGTACTCTCGATTGGTTGATAATGCTCCATTCCAAATGTAGCTTTACTATGCGCACGTTTTGTTGAACTCTCCTTTTACGCGTAGGTGTAGGTGTACTCCTTTTACATGTAGTGGTAGGAGTAGTGGTAAGGGTGAGTTACGGTTTTGTTAGTAATGCAGAAAATAAAATCTGCAGTTCGTTTACCGTAGCAAATAAGTTTTCTAACTCGGGAACGAAAATGTCTAGTTTTTCAAAAGTCGCTATTTCGCTCTTTTTAAAATTTTATTTTTATTTATTTATTTATCTTTAAATTTTACTCATATTTCAACTATTTATAGTTAAAATGATGGGAAGGGATTCTGGAACTCAAGAAAACGTGCGCAGATTATCTGCTACGTTACACACAGTTTGTACTGTTTTTTGACTAAATAATTCTAATTATAAAACTAAATAAATCTTTTGACTTCCCCATCTCGATAAGATTTTTGTCCAGTTTCCCTGATCCATTGAGCAAAAGCTGAGATGGCCCCTTGTTATGCTTCTGGACGTAAATGTAGCTTCACTATGCGCATGTTTTGTTGAACTCTCCTTTTGCAATTTTTAAAATTTACTTTTATTATTAGATTATCTTCCCTCCATTCCTCACATACAATTTTTACTCTTTTTTTTTGACTAAATAAATCTTAACCTAAGTCTAAAACTAAATAAATCTAAATTCTCCTTCCCGCTTGTGACCTCACAGTACCACTGGGTTTAAATTATTATTACTCTGGAAAATGCACTTGTGTGCATTCTCTTTGCACAGAGTAAGACAATAACATAAATGTCACAGTTAAAGACCATCACTAAGTCGCACAGTTACTGTTCATCCGTGCATACTGGTTAATTGTCAGCCGTCTTTCTTTACACTGGGGTGTTGGTAGCTGTGTTTAAATTGGAGTATAGATATTGTTTTCAGAAACTATAGGGAGTGTGTGCATCCTCGAACATTAAAACACAATCAATCTTGTCTGCATGCGCAGTTCAAGTTTCGCAGTACTTTGGTGCATCTACGCATGCGCAGATAATCGATAATGCTGTCTGCTATGGCGTGTACACAAACTCTTTTATACTTCGATTTAAACATAGTATCTGTGGACGTAAACGAGATGTAAATTACGGTGTCATCCAATCAGAAGCTTAGATGACAACTATTGTAGTGACATTTAAGCTCTCGATTGGAAGGCACCATAACAGCTGATAAATGTCAACAGACTGTAAATAAATCGAAGTATACGTAATTTCTCGCAACAGTCACTGAATCACTGGCAGTGACCAAGTGACGAACTCAACTCGTTTAAACCAAATGATAATATGATATATGTGAGAGGTGAGCTCCGATATAGGCCACAAAAATCAAAATCTGTGGTCTACTCGTGCTAATTTGAATGTGGCGCGGCGGGACGTCACGGTCTTGACGTCAGCGGTGGTCAAGCGAGCCGAAACCGCAGCTGATCAATTTAAGACATCAAGATAAGGAATAGCAAGTTGGTATTGGCCAAGAAGACCAAAAACGAGAAAACATAGTGCGGAATACTTTTGTCCGTTGCGGAACTCATTCTGCTAAACGTTTTCGTGAGAGGAAGAGCTAATTCTACTGAAAATTTGCGCGAGAGGAAGTGTTGTTCAAAGTTTACGTAAGAGTAACTCCTTGTTTTTCGTGAGGAGCGAGTCACACTGACTGCCACCGTTTGGGGGGGGGGGGTCCGAATAGTCCCTCTGGGAGAGATGGCTCAGGGCACCGACTGATGTCATTGCAGTCCCTCTGACCGGGAAGTCCTAGGTTCGTGTCTCGACGGGTCTCAAGATTTTCGACACTAGCTTGTTAGCTAGGTTGACTTCAGTCGCTGTCTGGAGGAGAATTCGAGCGGCCGGCTGATCTGATCGGTAGTTTTTCGTGTTTTCTCCGATCAACATCAGGGGAATGCCGGAACTGTACCCTAACAAACGGGCCACGGGCTGTGTGCGATCTTTCTTTCCTCTTCCTCGACCTATCCTCTTCCCTTACACACACACTTACACTAACAGGTAATACACAAGCACACATGCCTGGAGACCCGTCGGGAGCTTAGAGCTTGTCCCGACTGGGGCGGTGCCCCGCTGGTGGGAGATACCTGCTTGGGGAAAACCCCGCTAGCCGACAGTAGGACGGCGCCGGATTTCGTCATACAGCGAGGAAAAGATCACCGCCCCTCCCGAGAAAAAACATGCATTACACTTACGGGACTAATGACTCCGGTAGTTGACGTGCCCGAAATCACTAAATCAATCAATCAATCGAATAGTCAAAAGTATTTTGTTGCATTGTAATCAGTCGCGCCACTATCTGCTTTTTACACCTCATTCGATAACTGCGACGAAACTCCTAAACAACGCGCTCTGAAGAAAAGGGATTAAACGGAGCGAGGTACGAGCATCTGAAAGCGAGAAGTGGCGAACACAACGCAGAGCCCAGCCACTCGGCCTTGCGCCCGGGGCGTGAAGACAAGTTTGAACACAGATATTACGGGCACTCTTCGGGGTGATGCCGCCAGCCGACGAGTCGGATCGACGGCGTCACAAGCTCTGCGCGGCGAGGCAAGGTTCTCCTGATCGCAGACAAAGTTACTTGAGGAGAGGGCCGGCTGCCGACGTAGGATTTTCGTGGTGACTACGCTCAGAAGGCGGCGACAACGAGGTCCATCCGCCAATTCCAAATGCAGAAGCGTGTGTACCCGTTAAGGCGAAATCAGGAGCAATAAATAATTATGTAAATAAAATTAACAACAAAGTAAAATCTCGGAATAGAAACTTTAACGAAGCCGGTGATAAATGTGCAATTTCACAGAGGAATGAGCCAACTAAAATGGTTTTGCCATAGATTGTAATTTTTAAAGATATTGCTTCTCACAATAAGTGTAAATCACGATGAGCGTATAAAGGTGTTTATTTTTTACAATTAAAGGGGGTAATCTTAGACCTAGGTTATTAAGGCTAGATTCTTTAGAGGTTGCACCAGCTAGTAGCCTAGAATAGTACTGTTATTATGAATGTAAATTCACAGGCGAGATAAAGCAGGATCGCTTTTTTGTAGAATCATTGCTTATGTGGCTGTAACGTCCGCGTCCAGCATCATTCGTGAACACGTGATTCGTTTTCTCACGTGTATTCAAAACATTTCATAGTTACGTCATTTTTTAGAAGAACACATTATTTTTATGTCACATAATTTCAACTTTCGACCTTGTCATTTGTCGTAAACTTGTCTACGTTCCTTCAAGTCCGTATTCCCATATGGAGTATCTAGAATAAAACTAAACTAAACCAACTCGACAGGTCTGGGAGCGGATCGGCGGTGAACCGTCGGGCGCTTGAGGTAACACCCACGCTGAGCTGCGGTTACGTAGGCTTAACGACACTTGACCAGATCAGCAAGAGTTGCTGAATGCTCGGCGCGCCGCGGAAATTTCGACGTGCTCGGTTGTAGTCTATTATCAACAAAAACATATCTACTGTCGTCATTGGAGCTGAAAGAAAATGTACTACAGTATACAAGCTATCTTTAAATATAAGATAAATTAAAATTAAATTATATACAGAAATCAAGTGAAATAAAACTGAAATATAACTGTTACATTTTCAAAAGTGAGTAAGAAAACTGAGCCTTAATTAGCTTATAATTTGTTGAATACTTATTTATTTATTTAATAGGTAATTATTACAAACAAATTAGCTTACTTGATACTATGTGGCTAGGCCGAAGGCCTTTAAGCCATGACAATACCTACATCCTTTCGCGTTCTAATCTTTCGAATTCTGGTATTCACCCCCAATGGTCTCTTCATCGCATCAAAGCCGCGGAAAAGAGACCATAAGGTACGGCTCAGGAAAAAAAACCCTGAAGGAGGAAAAACCTGCCGTCAGAAGCCGAGTACATTCTAATCTATCAGGCGTTTATTTTAACTATTTATTTTCTGGCCTGGAATAAAACAGCGCAACAGAAGATCGTCCGCACCAACGCCTCTGCCCTTATATTTTCGATCCCTTATATTACCCCCCCCTAATGTGCTTATTACTATGCCAGTTTTATTTTATTTATTATATTGACCTATTACTTACCAATTGACTACGACTTATGACTTATTTCTTAACTGTTTACTACTTCCATAAAATTACTGATTAAACTTACTTATTGTTAGGCTTATTGACTATTTATTTCTCTCCAGGTCCTATTTCCTCACGGGACGGCAGAAGCTGGGACCGAGCGACGTCGAACCAGAGACATAGCGCGCGAACATCAATGCAAAAGTGGAAGTCACGAGGTAACAGGGGCGGAAAATAGGTCAAGTTCACGTCGGCAGGGAAAAACTAGTATATGGAAAGTGTTAAGACTTTGAGTGACACGGATGGCAACAAATTGGCAGTATTTATAGTAGAGACATTTGGATGGCGTATTGCCTGCATCAAAACATTCTACTTAGGGACATTTATTATTCTGCCATTTTTCAGACACAGTTAAATTGTAAATGAGGAGTAGGTGGCAATTTGCGACACAATTTGTTTCTTGCATGTATATTTTTGAAGGTAGGGAGATTGTAATGTGAGAATTTTGTTTCTGTGCAATGTAACTTAGAATGCATAAATTTTAGATATAATTAATTTTCGAGGGAATTCT